CATAGTGCTGTGCTGTCTGCAGACAGATTGGCACATCAAGCAAGGCACATGAAATTGAGTACTGCAGCAGGTGTATGAAATTAAGGGTATATTGATTCAAAATGCAGCAGTATCTTAATCCCTATGCTGGGGATATCCCCTGTCATGGAGATGCAGAAGTTCAGTCCTGTTGTCCAGTACTGGGAACTTTAACTGAAAGTGGAGCTTCCGAAGACTTCCTTGACAGTAGTTTCATTTAGAGACCCTATTTTTAGAGAAAAAAGGGGTTAGAGATGCTTCCTATATGAAAACATAGGTCATGTTCACCCAGTGCTGAAATAGGCTTTGAGTTATGAAAGCATCACCTGATTATTGTATGTGTTAGGACTTGCTGCACAAGAAGACTTACTGATATAATTGCACTAGCATAATTATACTCCGACAATATCCTGTGTCAACAAGCCTTTAGATGCAACTAGTTAGGCCCCTTCTTATTTAAGAACTCATTAAGCCTTTAACTGCACATTAAAATGGTGTAATTCAGGGCCCCAAACCTTTAAAGCTCAAGTTTTGTGTTGACCGTCAGGGCTTCCAGATTACCAAGCAAACTTGTTATTAAGCTTTAAAAGACTAAAGACAAAACAAATTAATGTTCTCAGTCTGGGAAAGAGCTATAAAATCCAGTTGCCCTGAAAATCTGCAGTTACACAATTGCACGGGTCTCAACGTAGGAGACGAGCTGGGTGGCGTGCGTTTGGAAATGGGGCTCGCTGGCAACTTCTCCATGGTAGGAGTTTCACAGGGCCAGGAGTTTCTTGAGAGATTCTTTCAAGAGTCGTGCTCTTCTCCATGCATTTGATCTGTTTGATCTGTTTGATCTGTTTTGATCCATTAGGATGGAGGAGAAGGGGGCATGTGGAACATGTCACGTTCATGGGGCCATCCCAACTTTGCAAAGCTCCTGCTTGGCACCGTGGTGGCCTGGCTGTGTCGGGGATGCTTTCTGTACCGCTTTCTCCTGGCAGCAAGCATTGCTTGCGGATTGCTTTCGTTTCAGAGCTCCGTGAAGCTGTTATTTCTCTACTTCCAGATTTCTTTCTTGTTGCAGAAGTTGCTGTTCTCAAGATTGACCACTCTGAACATTCGCTCGGCATAAATTGGGTGAATTATAATAGGAAGTCTGTTTTTCATAACAAAAAGAAGCCTGAAGACAAAATGCTGGCACCTCATTGTTCAGCATCCAGCTTAATTTACTTCAAGCCTTAAAATAAGAACTTGGTGTTTTCTTTGTCATCTCAACCATTATATCAAAGCCGAAACTTTCTTCTTCATGGAATCAGGGAGCACTAAATGAGGTGCTTCTCCTACATATCCCCCAAGTGCTCTAGTTTCCCAGTCTTTCATCTTTCTCCTAGTTCATTCTTTCCTTCACAGCAGGTTAAAAGTAAAACCCAGCTATGCATGTAGAGCTCTGTGCACAATCCACACTCTAAAGAGTGTCAGAAAAACAGGAATCCTCAAATAATTCAGAACTGCATTGGGAAAATTGTCTGAGGATGACTCTGGACAGGAGTGTTCAGCTTCATCCTCGCTAACATGCATCTCGTCACACCACAAAACCCCTCTAAGTAGGAATATTTATTCCAGGAAAATATTCTCACCTCTCTGGCTCCTGTAACACTGTAGAGGAGCACGGCGGGTTACTCCAGGGTGTTACAAGGAGTTGTATCAGTGTGACTAGTTTCCCACCTCAGTTTGGATACAGCAACCTCATTTTCCTGATTAAGGTTGAAGTTTGTGTTATGGTAGAAAGGAGCAATAAGGCTGTATCCCCTTCAGACCCCTCTGCCAAACCAGTAACTGTTGGGAGAGGGACCATTTGGCTTTCCCAGCATGGCTGGCATGGGGATTTTGCGACGTTATAAACACCACGAGGAGCTGCTGCAATACATCTAACATGGGAAAGCTCGATTTTAAATTCTTAATTTGAAGCAATAGTCCGAAAACCTCACCTTGGACCAAGAGTTGTGGTCTAAAATTAAATTTGCATCCCTTACTCCTATAGCTAACATGCCTAGGAGTTTTATGTGGCAAAAAAATATAGGTTAGCTTCTTATCAGGTCAGTGCTGCTGTTCAATAAACAGCACTTATCTCATCCGAACACCACCCTGCCCTAAATAAATTTCTGTCTGGTGAGCTGAGCCAGAAATAGCTTCCATTTTTATTGGCTCATAAAAAAGATATCATTTTAAAAAGTGTTTTGAATCAAAATACACGGTGGCAGTCGTTTTACTTTGAGCACCGTGGTTCTGTTCCTTGGCAGCTTGTGTGGATGCCACAAAACAGTGTGATCACAGCTGTGCTGCTCTCCGTTTTTGGTGTTATTTTCCCAACCTAATGTGTGCCCTCCTTTCTGTCCCTGAAGTTCTGCTAGAAGAGTATGCCCTGTTTTTGAGCATCGTATATATATCTATATATATATATTCATGTTTTTGTGACTGGTTGTGATCCTAGAACACTTTTATCTTCCTTGCACTGCTATGAAGTACTAAGCAATCATATATATATATACATATATATATATTTTGAGTTTTCAGAAATTAATTATGCTGTTTTCATGACAAAAACAGAGTGGGCAGGGAAATTAGGATGTGGCGAAGATGTGATAGAAATGTTGGCAGGCCCAGGAATGAACAATAAAGAGAGGGGAAATACTTGGTACGGATAAGAAAATTCAACAGGTAACAGCGGTTCTTGGGAGTCTTTTGTTAGCTAAGGAAGGACATAGAAATAAGGGTGTTAATGCAGTGATGGGTTGTAAAGAAATAAACAAGAGAATGGATGAAACAGTTGGTGAGAGTCAATGTTTCTTTGGAAAAAGATGGTAACTGAGATGGTTAGAGCAGAGCGGAGCGCTCATCGCACATTCCCAGGGCCTGATCTGGATAATAGAAACCTTTGTAACGCTGCAAGTATAAATATTCCCGGGAATAGCTTCTGTGGTACTTTGCAGCTGTAGAATAAAGGCTATAAATAAATCTGTTAGCTATCCTGTCCATAACAGCTGGCTCCTTCCCATTAAAGATCCAGATACTTTTGAAATTAGTAATGCCAAGCGAAGGGAGAGAGGAGTTGTGGAGCCTGAGTTAATCACTCTAAGAAAAACCTTGGAAGAGGCAGAGATCCCCTGAGGATTAGGGGAAAAAATGACAGATCACTGAAAAAATCCATCTCAGGCATCGAGAAGCATGGGGATAAAAGGGAAGTAACCAAAGGCTGAGTAAAATTAGGAAAGTATTTCAGCCTCCTTCAGGTGTGTCAGTTCAAAAGGGGAGATGGGTTTCTTGGATTGGAGATAAAAGATTCTGTAGTGTTGTGTGGAAACCAAGAAAATGCCAAATTTCTCCCTAAAGGTTATGACATCACAAAGCAGGACAGACGTATGGAAAAAGTAATATTTTAATGAGCATTGCTGCATTTGTACCAAGAGCAAAACTGAAAGAATAGGTGTACTTAAAATTAGGGAGACAGAATAGTGTTTTATTGCAGAAGCCTGAAGTTTTGGGTAATGAAAGTGCAAGTTTTTAGTAGGAAGCATTTTTAACAAATCTGTTGAGTTGGTTTGCGAGAATCACAGTGTTCAATGCCTCTTTCGTGAAAGGGAGGAAGAAATTCCTGTTGTATAGGCGGGAATACATTTGGAAGACCAGACCTGGATGGAGTTTCCTGAACGCTAGCCAAGAATTTACAACCCAGGAATTGTTTATCTTATTAAAAGCCCATGCAGAAATCACTATCACATTCCTAACGTCCGACCAAACTACCTGAATTTTGATAAAGCATCTGGTAACTGGGAGATTCCCCAAAGTCAGGTTAGTAGAATGGGGAAAAGAAAGTGAGGAAAACTGGCAGCAAGTAGGTGTTGAAGGGGAAAGTTGCTGTTAAATTTGGGAGTGTTCCTGTTTGTCGTTTCATTAATGACCTTTACACAAATGTAAAGAATAAGTAGATGAAATCTTGTCATGATGCAGAGGAGCAGGAAGGAGAACCTGACTACCATATGGACAGGAGTAATTGAAACATGTTGAAGTAATTCAATATATTCTATTGGTTCTTTATACACAATAATATTACCTGTAAGATCATATAGCCAGGAGTTAAGTTACCTTCCAGTACATGGGAAGATGATCTGTCATAAACATGTGGGAGGGACATGGTGCTTCCTGACTGATCACCACGTAGAAGTAAAATCAGGAAGGATGAGGGAAGGTGACCTGAAAATGCAGGAGCTTGGGACAGTGAGAAGGAGGAGGAAGGTATGAGAAAACGGAGAGTAAGAAATATTTCTCATGAAAAACAGCGCCTGTAACCTTGCCATGGGAAGAAAAAGAATTGAAAAGCAGAAGGATGTTTCTGAACATCAGAGCCCATGACGTTCAGGAGAACTACCACATGTGGAAAGAGAGGTTGGAAGAGTGGTGGTGGTTGTGTTAATGAACATTGCAGTGGGTTTTTAATGGATTCTCCTAGATTAATCACATGCAACTTTTATATTTCTACTTCACACTGTATTATCTATATGAGCTAGCTACCGATTAAGCTCAAAGTATAGCAGTAGAAAGCCATAAATTCTGTGTGCTTTCTAGCTAAAGGAAATAGTAGCAGGCAGGACTGCTTCCTGTGTTTGCTTTACAATTACTAGCATGCAACTTATTCAAATGTGATCCCAGAAGTGTTTTTCAGTTGTAGAAACTCAATTTTATAGCTGTTTGCTCAATTTAACATGGTGAGGGGGATTGGCTTTGGCGAGATTCCTGTCTATAATGTGGTACCTGCTCTACCTCTCCATTTCCTATCCAACTTACCTGTCTAGAAGTACAGAAATGCAACTAATTTTAAGGTTTTCTTTACTAATAAGTGACAGAAAGTACAGATCAGCCACCATGGAAATATACAATATATATTATAAATGTTATAGTAAAATAGCACTACCAACAAGTTCTTTTCCTTTATTTTCCAGTGCTTGCTCCACCTCCACCGCTGCCACCATCAATGCATGGATATGGCTTCAAACCACCCCCCCGACCAGATTTTGGGACTTCTGGGAGAACAATCAAACTGCAGGCCAACTTCTTTGAAATGGACATTCCTAAAATAGATATCTACCATTATGAATTGGATATAAAGCCAGAAAAATGCCCTAGAAGAGTTAACAGGTAATAGCATGTGTTGCTTTTCCTCAGTTTATTTCTGTTCATACTTTCATTGGAAAATGCTGGAGGCACATGCCAGTTTTCCTCGACAATTTTGCAGAATCCTAGTTATTGTATTTACTGATATTTTCTAGCTCTTCTTATCAGCAGGCATAACTTTTTGTACTTTTGTTCCTCCAAATCTTTATCTTCCAAGCCAGATTCTTTAAGACTTTTGTGCGATGGTCCTTTATTTTGGATGAAATGCCAAAATAAAGGCAATAAAGGTGAGCAGTAGCTGCTCACCAGCTGCTACTGGGGACATTGGTATAAACTGTATTAACTCTAGTAGAGTTAGCTCAGTATATGCCAACTTGGTAAATATGATTTTTAGTGGTGTTTGATTAAATATTGCAGTAGAAATGGGCTGATAAGCCCCTCAGCTGTGATATCAGCATATTTTGCTATCTTCCCTTACTAACAAAGGGAGGTAAACCCATGTGCTCATCCTGCTGCGAGGAGATCTGGAAGGAATTAAATTAGGTAAGAAATTATCCCTCCTTCTATATAAGGGAAAGTTATGCTCCTGAAACAGATAGCAAGGTGAAAACGGATCAGCTGGCAAAGGAAACAAGTAATTAGGTGCTGTGTTTTGTGTGTGTTCCCTGTTAGTCACAGTGTGGCAACGTTATTGACTTGGAAAAGAGTGGTACTGCCAAAAGTGAAATGAAGAACAAGCCTTGGCACTAACTAGAAACCACAAGTGGCTTCATCAGACCTGCCTACGACTTGACTATAGAGGATTGGAATGGGCTGTTTATATATCCAAGAGCTAAAACTTCCCGTTTTTGAAAACAGGTTGCAGTGGGCACACTATGCAACCCTATGTAAACTGTGGAATCCAAAAAGCCCCCAAAAGCCAACGCTTTTCTAACATGACCTAATAAACTGGAGTACATTATCTGCTGTCACACTGAAGTGGCTATGAATAATACCGTAAAGCTGCTAATTATGTATTACACTTCGTTGCACTAATTTTTTTTCTCTGTTACAAATTTAATTTTTAAGCTAGTTTAAAATTGGTTGAAAACAAAGGTAGAGAGCGTAGTTATTAAATAATGAGATAGCTTTTCTGACCAAAAAGGCAGATTATGTTTGGTAATAAGCTGCTTTTTGCAGACAGTTTTTGACCTGATCTGCTTGTGCTAACAGGAGCAAGTGTAAATCTACATGGATTAATTCCTTTTACAGTAAATGAGGGTATTGTGAATGCTTTCCAGAGTAGTACAGTGAGTGTTTCTTAGTGCAACGTGGAGAGAATACAAATTGGATTCACTTAATGAAGTTTTATTCCTTCATTGAGTGCTTATTCTTGCTTGCACATCCACAGGATAATGTGTGGATATTCACCTGTGCCTGGGGGTTTGCTAGCCAGGACATTTGAGTCCTACATAAATACATATGTATGCATATGCACATATTTATATGTGCACATATGCATACATGCATGCATATAGCATTTGGCAGCATGCATTTACAATCTAAGACTAAATAATAATTTTTGGTGCCAGTTTACTTCTAGTCATTTGATTATTGAATTCATATGTGTATTTACAGTAGTACCTACAAGGGGTAGAGAATAATTGTATTTTCATTCTTCTGTTATCTTTCTGCTTCATCTTCCCTAGTTTCATTATTTAGTTTTGTGCTAAGATTGATTACACTGTAGCCTGTGACTGCACTGACACAGCAAGGGCCAGAATAACGTTTGATTTGACACCATGGATGTGCTCAGTTTAATTCATGAGGATAGTGAAAACTCCTAAAAGGATCAAAATGTGCTCTGCTGGCAGTCAGCAGTTTGGAGCTCCCACCTGAGAAGTAGTCTCAAAGGGCTGATGTCAGAGGGTGAATATTCTTCTGTTGAACTTCAAAGAGAGAAAATAATTCACTTTTCATTAAGTTCTAAGCCATTGCTAAATGTGGCTTGCAGCTTGAAAACCTTAATTAAAGTAGTGCTCGGATTTATTCCAGAGAGTTTACCATGAGAAAAGGATTTCCCTGCTAAGGTAATGGATTCCATTGCTCAAAATATCTAACATAAGGTCAAAGAATCTCCCTCCTTCCACCGTCCGAATTATGTAGTGGTTCAGTGAGATGATTCAGATCTGAAGCAGAAATTACTGAACCGAGTTTTATTTTTACTCTTGCTCTGGTTACTCTTGCAGTGGTCAGCTGAGTTCCTTTCAATGGACCTGTTTTGTCCTAAAGCCTTGGGACATAGCAAAGAAATTGTTAACTAAAACAACTTTCATTCCTTACAATGTATCATTCACCTCAACTTCCTCTGTCAAGTTCTGCAGCTGCAAAAATCTCCATAACATCTCACTAAATACTCTTATCATGTAAGTTTTCCAGTAAAGCACTACAGGATATGGTTGCCCAGCCTGTGTGCAAGCTAGTTGAGAACAGGACTGAAGAAATAGCTTGCTGTGGGTTTCCTTCCCTTGTCTGTTTAAATTTCTAACATCCTTTTGCCCCAAGCCACATCTATAGGATCTTCCAGGCAGCGAGTTGCAGACCGCTGATGTATCATTGCCTGAAAGATGTATATCAAATTTTACAGCCATATGCTACATATAGCCTGAAGGATGTCTGGGATATTTGAACCCAAGACTTTTGGTGACAGAGGATGTTGTTATTTCAGTAGGCACTAACTTGCTGGTGAACTGCTTTGCAGGGCCAGGTTGTAAATAAATATTGCAGCTTGACAGGAGCTTGGTGAAAGGCTCCATCGTGCTAAAGCAGAACTTGATTCCATAAAGTTAAACTAAGAGGCATTTTTAGTATGCATGGGATCTGATGAATGCTAGTGTTGTAACTGTGGGAAAAGATTAGGCTTAAAAGTAATCCTTGAGAATGTGATGAAGAAAAGCTTGTTTATCCCTGTCATCACAAGAGGGAATACTGTGCTGATGAAACATGGTGGCGGAAGTTTGATAGTCTTTATTTAAAAGGTTCTCAATCCTCTCATCTTTTGGTCCCTCTGGTGACTCGCAAAGGAGAGCAGAAGTCCCAGGAGAGACAGCAAGGATTGTTCACATGCTGGTTCAGGTGTATCACGGAAAAGGTGAAGAAAAATTTCAGCCAGAAAAAAATGAGAGCAACTGCTTCAAGAAAACGGTTTAGTCTGCGAGAAGGTTGGATTAAATCAGATCAGTCAAATCTTGCCTCTATTGCCCAACAGTGGACAAATCTTTCACTAGCCATCTGATATTTTGGGCAGGAGTTAAAGCCTATTCTTATAAAGGCTAGTGATGGTTCTGTGGTAGCAAATGAATACTAAAGCATTGATTTAACATTTTTTTTTGTATTTCCAGAGAAATAGTGGAACATATGGTTCAGCACTTTAAAACACAGATCTTTGGGGATCGCAAGCCAGTGTTTGATGGAAGAAAAAATCTTTATACAGCTATGCCGCTTCCTATTGGGAGAGAGAAAGTAAGTTTTTTTTTTTCTTTTTTTTCCCAAAATTCCTACTTGGAGGTTTTAATGAAATATTTGCAGAGCCTTTCTAGCAACTGGCTGTATGTTTTTGGTGTTTTCCTTGTGAGTTGGGGTGGTTTGACACAAAAGGCTGAACAGAATTATGATCTCGCTGCCACCCAGAGAGTCACTCCCCTTCCTCCCTTCTCTCTTCCCTCTCTTTCTCCCTGCTCACATAGTTTCCAGCTGGTTTGGTGAGCTGGATTGGTCACCTGAGAAGGCATGGAGATGAGCTCCATGCTGATGCTAGGGGTAAAGTGAAGACACTAAAGAGTTTGGGAAAGGAAGCAGCCCTCTTGGCAGCCCCGGGCTGTTGTATCAGCTCATTAATCCTGTCAAAGCCTCCTGTAAACTGATTCTCACTCTCCACGAGCTGGAAGAAACTCCTCCAGCACTTGACTGGCAGGATGGCGTGTCTATCTCTTCCCTAATCATTTGCAACGAGAGTGCCAAATTAGCTTAAACTGCTTAGGATAAGCCTGCTAGTTGAGCATTGGAGTAGCTGAGCAGCGCTCACATGTTCTGCTTTGCTCCCTTCCGGGGGCCCTCCCATCTTCACTGGCTCCGACTGGGGTTTAAACACGTGTCTGTACCCAGAGATGACTCGTTAAGCTGCAAGCACTGTATTAGAACATGCTAGTGCACAAGACCTATAAAATAATTAGCTGTACACTTCTGTGGTCTTAATATCAGATTGGATTTTCTGTGGTCTTTTTATTTAGATGAGAGGCACTTTGGGGTTGCAGGTCATTCTCATTATTCATTTGTGTTACAGTATTTCCCAGGGGCTGTAACACCCTTTTACTGTGGGTACAGGGCAAGGCATCTGCAATAACAGTGCAAAAGTGCCCTGCCCTGTAGAAATTGGTTACAGCCAGAGTAGACAGCAGAAATAAAATGTAAGAGGAGAGAGAAATACAGATAAATGTGGAATCTTGCTCATGTGATAAGGTTGGGAATAGTGCTCAAGTCTTCCAAAATTCAATGGCAGTGTGTTATAAACTAGATCATAGTGGTCTCTGTCTTGTGTGCTTGACATTGCTGACAGTTCCAGCTTCATCTACCTCTTACCCTGATATATGTAATATATAACTCTTAATTTCCCTGAAATGGTCTCTGATTTTGAGTGAGAATAAAGCAGGAAAGGCCGGTGTTTGCTCCGGTCTGAATTATTTTTCAGCTTGTCAACTAATGTCTACGAAAACTCAACAGGGAGCATTTAAGACCATTGGAGATCAAAAACTATGACAAATAAAAAAAAAAAAAAAAAAAGCTTTGATCAAATTAAGCCCTGATCTAATGAGACTTCAGAAGATCCTACCTGGCCCTACATTGCTTGAGTGCTGGAGCAGGTAATCTCCAACCTATATAATTCTGTATGGTCTGTCACTGAGTAACTGCTTGCTAAATAGGCCTCTGTCCTTAAATGTTTTGAATTTTGAAGGCCCTGGTAAAAATGAGGTGTAGTGACAATGTGTCATCCAGAAAAAAGTGGATATTTTGCCTGCAAATTTGCTTTCTTCTTGACCAGGACAGGAGTCAAGAGTTTTTATCTGTCATTTTTTTGGTAAAACTTGAGAAGAGCTGCCCAACTCCAATTACCTACATGATAGGTAGTTTTCTCAAAATTTCTTACCTGTCTTTCCCAGGATATATATGATAATTTGGAGTCAGCTTTTCAGTGTATTGCTCTTAGTCAAAGCACAGAAAATACTTTAAAACAAGAAATAAAGCTAAGGTGGTTATATGGGAAATCCATATGAAGCCTCAATTCCTCTGCATGCCTCAAGATAAATATTGCAACCCGCTCTTCGGAAAGGTGAACTCTTAATAATTTTGTTAATTGCATTGAGTGGGCCAGGATTACGAAGCGTGAGCAGCGTGAGTTTGCGAAGGGCTGCTGGTATGAACCTCACTGGGGAGACTGTTTTGGGTGGAGGTTGGCTTGAGATGGCTTCAGGTGTGTCATCTGTGTAACATTTAGGATCACTCTCATCAATTCTCATTTTCCCCCCTTTTTTTTTCCCATCCAAAGCAATTAGATGAGTGGGGTTATATCTAGTTTAGATTGTTCTGAGTATAGCGAACGTTTGCACAGCTTCCTATATCTAGGATCATAATTGGAAATACTGAACACACAAATGATGAATTCCTTAATCTAAATAGGAACGGAGCCTGATTTATCAGTGGCCTTCATGGAAGAACTGATCCTGACCAGAAGGCTGGCACCCAAATTGCTGGCATCTTCCTCCTGTTGCTCTTGCACCAATGTACTCTAGTCTAACCTCTGGTCTGGTGGTTGTGGTTTTCTTCTGTCCTTGATGACAACTGTGCTTCTTTTATAACTCTCTCCTCCTGCATAAACACTTCTCATCTTTTCTTCTTAGCCTTCATGATTGCCCAACCTTTTTACATGTCCTCTTTGTTTCTTTAGCCCTTTTAGAGAGAATGTAAAATACTTAAATATTAACAGTGTATTTTCTTAGTTTTTACTCTTAAACACATGGGAAAACAATGTATAGTACACTGTCAAATTATAAAGATGTTAATAGCCTCTTTGCTTGTAGCTCCTAAGGCAAGTTTAGTTCACTTTTACCTGTAACTTTAACAAACCTGCTACATAATTTCTATTTTTGTCCCAAATGTGCTTCTAAAATTAAAAGTTTGAGCTAAATTTTAACTTAATCTGGAGTTTTTTCTTACCTAGTAAGATTTAGGAACAACTAATACACCTGAGACAGTTTTTATTTTAAGAGATGTATATAACAAAAGTGCTTTATGTGAATTCGATGCTGAAAGACGGAACAGGAGGCTCATGGAGAGAACTCCTGTTCCCTTTGGGAAGTCTAGTCCCAAGGGCAGTCCCTTAATCCAGTATATGGACCCAGACATGTTACTGAACCTCACTCTTCTTGATTTTGTGCCATTTGAAGTATTGAAATAGTATCAATTTCTATAAGTATGGTAAAAATAGTCTTATTTCATAAATCCAGAGCAGCACGTGGAGATAGGGACCCAAGTGTTTGCTTGGACACTGAGCACCTCTTTTTCTCCGAATCCATGGAAAGGAAAAAAGCTCCTGGATTCCCGGACAAAAGCTACTTCCCATGCTGAAAACACGACTGAAAACAGCTGTGTAGTGAGGTTTGGATTTACGGAAAGGAAACTCAATGCAGAATTCCCCAGGATTGCATGGCAAGCTGGGAACAGAGGGCAGAAACTCCTTATACAGAGCAGCCTAGGGCAAGTCAAGGGTTAGATTGAGCCTTTCTATTTATTTCCAATAGTAAAATGAGAAAGATTCCCTTTTAAAGCAATATATATACATTTATATATATATATATATATATATATATATTTTGCTTTCTCTCCCAAATGTTCTTATTTGCACTTGAAAAAAAAAAGTGGACTAAATCACAGATGAGTGCCAACTTTAAAGCCAGTTTGCAGAACTTAAAAGTGTAAGTAATTTTTTATGAGTATGGATGATGGAATCATTTTTGATCCTAATGTGCTATTATGAATTCTTTAATGGGCTGGGTATATCTTAAACTCTTTAAAAAAATGTGATTCATGTGAGATATTAGAGGACAGAAAGCTGGGGAACTGGTTTCAGACCTTATGTGCTTCAGCATTGACTCTGAGTTATTTTTTAAATAGTTTTAGACTCAGCAGCAATACGTGTTTGGTCCAAATTTGCCAGTATAAATTCATTGCTAAGCTATGCTAAATGATTTGGCTCCTGATAGTTCACTGCTAAATTTGCCCACGATAACTGAGTATGTTTGTGTGTAATGATGGAATGTATTTTTTGCTGATGGATAAAGTACTTGCCTAATTCTGGCATATCAGCTTTTAAAATTAAACCATCTGTTACTGGGTCGGCCCGAATTGGCCCTCCAGCAACTGGAATGCAAGTTCTTCAATCCTATGTCTTTTATTTCCACCAGGGAGACACAGTTACTGCAACACAAGTAGTCCAGTTCTTTATCTGTTTCCATTCCATCATGGGTAAGGAACTTTGGAAATTGAAACCTGGAGAGAAGGAAGGAAGGAAAAAAAAAGACAGAAAAAGTCTTCTTGTAGTTTAATGGTAGTAAAGTCATTAATAATCAGCAGTTATGTATCCAGCAGTTTCAGGAGTAATAAAAATGGTGTAGGTTGATTTGCAGCAGGAGAGGAATTTAAAGAAAAAGAATGTAATTCAGGTGCAATAAATATTTTCTATATTTTCCATCCCCTTAAGTAATGTGTAGGTTGAAGACCTATTGACAGCATAGCAGAGACTTCAGAAGAAGCTTCCAGCCTGTGTCAGCTGAATCCTAGGCCCCCATTTGCACCTTTTTTTGGTAGGATTAATGATCTGGACCAGATTCAAAGCAGTGACCCAGCAATTACAGCCTCCCTTTTCCATTGTCCTCCTTCCTCTGCACGGCTCTTCCTGCAAGGAACTGTTGTGCAAGAAGGGTGAGGCAGCTGTAATGTTAATTTTAACCTTCTACTCAAAGTTGTCAAGTAGATTTTTGGCTTATGGGAAAGCTTATCATTTATGTTTTATTTTTACTATTCTTTCCCCTGTGAGCAAACGAGTTAACCATCCCAAAAGACCAGCTGATTGCATGTATTAGCTGCCTGTTCCCCATGTATTGTCTTCACTGCCCCACTAATTATAGTTTGTCTGTTGAGTGGGTGCCTTTTGCATTTAAATTGCTGGCTCCTTAGGACAGGAAAATCCAGTGTTTTTGTTTATACCCTACACAAGACTCTGCTGATGCTGTTATTCCTTGTAGTCCTTCCCAGAAGTTCTTAATTCAGACAAGCCTTAATTGTAGATAAGGAACATCTGTATTCAGGCATTCTTTGTGTTAATAAAGAGGAGAAATCAGCATTATAAAATATATCATAGCAAAAATAAGCTAAACTAGTATAGTTTGTCAATGTTTTGGGCAAAAATAATTAAGACATTCATCTATTTCTGTTCATCTATTCTTTGATATCTAGAAATAACAATTGCTAATTTTTTTAATGCTCTTTCTGGAACTTTTCTTCTCATCTGAGCTGTATTACAGTGTGTATATATAAAGTACCCTAACTGATGCTGTAGGGAGAGCAGGTCTGAAGTTCATGCGTCTTGGCAGGTAACAAGAGCCCACATTTCATTTTGCACGTGCAGAAATTCATGCTTTGAGTGTTGACGCATTGGCATGTTTAGATATCCAAATTCAGGTTTCCAGATTTTCTCTGAGACCTTCCTGGTGGTAACACAAGTTCTTCCAAAATGAGGGAGGTAGATGCCAGTTGGGAAGCGTGCTGGTTTTCTGAAATACGCCTTTGGAAAACCCAGCTGTTAAAAGAGGCTGTACCAAAATTTTGTTGTTTCTTCAGCATTGTTTTGTGTCTTCTCCCATGCTCTATAGTTGATACTCAGAGGAATTCATGATCCCTCCTTAAGCCCCTTTCATTTTTCCCTTTAAATGGAAAGAATCATCTTGGTTTGTTGTTTGGCATTGTTGCAGGTGGAGTTGGAGGTCACGCTGCCAGGAGAAGGGAAGGACAGAATATTTAAGGTGGCTATAAAGTGGATATCCTGTGTGAGTTTGCAGGCTTTACATGATGCTCTTTCTGGTCGGCTGCCAAGTGTCCCATTTGAGACCATCCAGGCACTGGATGTGGTCATGAGGCACTTGCCTTCCATGAGGTGAGGGGAAGACCTTGACATTGTTTAGAAATTTGCCTTTCTGCTCATGCTGCTTCAGGGGCTATTTCACATAGCAGGTACTTTGATAGCTCAACCACTATAATAGTAGATCCCATGTGCTCAAGCCAGAAGCAACTTTTCCGCTCACTGTGTGCAACTAGAAGCCTCCAATGTGGACACGAGAGCCCTTCCTTGCTGGTCTTTAGCATCATTCCATGTCTGTGTGGTCTGATCGAGGGAGGGACCTTCCATCTCAACCATAGAGATCCCATCTCTCCACCTCATTCCCCCACAGTATTAAAGGAGAGGGACATCCCCTCAGGTTGCAAGAAGTTGGAGGCTGGGAAACATATGAGGCTGCTTTCAAATACGTTTATAGCTAATTCGGTACATGGGACATTGACCTAGAACAGGCACTGGTCTCACCTGATGGAGCTGGTTTTACAGCAAGTGCTCAAAAATGTTCTTTTCCAAGCAAATGGGACCCCACAGCAGGAGACACTAGGGTGCAGAAATTCTGCTGTTAAGACCTGACTTTGAATTAGAGTCCATTGGAAAGTAAAGAGCAAAGCTTAATAAGGCTGAACTTCTCAGAGTTTTCTCAGAGAAGCTGAGAATTAAAATCATGTAAACATCTTTAAATATCCTATACTAAGTTGAATTTATCCCTAATGTGAGGATAAAAAAAGGTTATTAGAGTCAGCTTTTACAGTAGAGAAAGCCCTGGTCCATGCCAGTTAGTCGCACATCTTTGCTCCAAGAATAATATTAGTACTGGTTTTGATTAGTTTCCTATTAAATGTGAATGCTCAAACACCAACACAAAAGATTCACTAAAAATATTTTACATCAGTCTCTTACTCAGGGAAAGTTGCCGTGCATTTTGGAGGAAGATCTTTGCAAATAATGACAGAATTATCAAACTGTTGTTTTTAATGTTGGAGCTACTTAATTATTTTTCTGATGGCATCATAGCTGAGTTTTTAATAGAGAACAAAGAACTCTGTAAAGCTTTTTAGTTTGTATTAATGGTTATTTTAATGGGATATGTTGAAAATGGGTTTAAAAAAAAGTAGTAGCAAACTTCTCACTGTTGCAAACTGCAATTGAGAGGTGTAACCTGAGTCCTGATGAGAGTTGCAGTTTATTTATAATAGGAAACACTGATATTTCTGTGTTTTTTTCGAGTAGGAATTTGTATTAGTTCTTGTTTAAATGCTTTTTTTTCCCCCATTGTTCTTTCTGCTTTTATTTTATGATCTGATTCTGAAGCTAATTAATCCATTTTCTTTATTCCAGGTATACTCCTGTGGGACGATCTTTTTTTACAGCCTCAGAAGGGTGTGCAAATCCCTTAGGTGGTGGCAGAGAAGTCTGGTTTGGGTTTCATCAATCAGTTAGACCTTCGTTATGGAAAATGATGTTAAATATTGATGGTAGGTCCTGTACAAACCCTTCCTCTTCCTTTCTCCTTTAATGACAAGCCAAAAACGTAATCCTCTTTGTTGGATTTCTTAACAATTTCTTCATTGTTATTCTAATATAACCTTAATGTACACGTGTTTGTCTGTAGTGTCTGCGACCGCATTTTACAAAGCACAGCCAGTTATAGAGTTTGTATGTGAAGTTTTGGACTTCAAAAGCATTGAAGAACAACAGAAACCTCTGACAGATTCCCAAAGGGTGAAGTTTACCAAAGAAATAAAAGGTAACAATAACAATATGAAATTACTTAATTCAGTGCAATGATATATGAAAACCACATGTTCAAAAAGTTTTCCTGTAGCAGTTGATTTCTTTTTGGGAGGCAGATTGTTACAGTGAATACAGGCAAACTAAGAAGCAAGAATCATTTTATTAGTTGTGTAAGTATAATATATATATGTGCTTGCATATATTCCACGAATTTTGGAATTCTGTTTTTATGTTTAGGCTGTACCTGTCCTCTTTTCCTACTTTCCCTATCATGAGTGCAAAATACTAAGCAAGCATATTTATTTTTACCTAACTGTATACACTTAGAGCTGATTTGTGTGTGTGTGTGTGTGTGTATGTAAGTTAGCACATATTAGAGAATCTGTGGCAAGGATAATTGCACGTGCTTTTAGCTTGTGGCAAATACAGGGTTGATTTTAATGAGCTTTGCCTTTAATGAAAGTGCTGCAGTGAAACCTTGAAGATGATACATTTTGCTTTAAGTGCTGGGATGAACTAAAGCTTCTAGCAGATGGGTGGCAATTTATTGCACTGAGATTAGCTCCTGGCTTGTGGTTGCGCAAGCATCTCCTTTAACTGCATATTCTCTTGACATAGCTCCATTTCTTCATGCCTCACCCCAGCTGAAGCGTTTGGTGCCTGAGAATATCAGGGCAAACTGATCTTTTCTCCTGAGTATATAGAGCAACATCTCTTATTATGTCAATCCTTTAAAAAAAAAAATATGTGTTATGTGTATGTATATGTTTTTCTTCCTTGAATATTACTTGAATATAACTGTTCTTTCTGATACGTAAAGGTTATATTTACCTTAGCACTCTAACACTTCTTCAAGTTTCCCCATTTCTAAAATAAATAAAAGCTACAGCTTTTATTTGTAAAATCCATTTGTAAAATCCAGCACTTCAGTGATATTTTTAAAATTACCTGAACTTCATTTTCTCCAATGACTGCCAGATTTTACTAATAATTTGATTTTGTGTTTTTTCACATTTCATACGTATATTTTCCTAGAATAATTGTGGTTTTTCACATTTCATACGTATATTTTCCTAGAAGAAAAATATAGTTATTCTAATAAGTAATGACTGAATCAAAGAGTAAGTAATTCGTGTTTGTGTTCACTGAATGCTCACTCACAGTATTTGTTCTGAGAAAAGGAGAATCCTTCCTGTATATTCACCTACAAGGTGACATAGGCTGGTGATATGGACATCCCTCTTAGTGACCTTATATATGTGAGAAGGGTGACTGTGCTTTATGACAGGATTGTGCTGAGCATAAATGTTGTGCAAAAATAATAAGCAGGCACTGAGTTGCAGATACCTCTGTCATTATTGTTTCTGTGAGGATTTTCAGTCTTCAGATAAGAAATAGTCTTGAATTTTGAACAAAGATGGCGTAAGTTGGTGGAACAGAGGTAACAGTTTATCCTGTAATGAAAATATTATGGTACAGGCTTCAGAGGTGTTCATGACACATCGATATTTACTGATGCTTTCAAAATAGTTGGCACCTGGAGCCCTGACAAATAAGGTGGAAAGATTCATATATTGTTTGGCAAGTTATTGGTGCCTTTAATAGGGAGGCTAAACACACACTGTAATTCTGCAGCTTGATGAGCTTATACACATGTACAGATATATAAGGAATTTATATCTACAGTCTCTGCTTTCCTAGTGCCTTACATTCAGCTTCCTCTCATAGTCCACCCACATCTGCTTTTGTCTGAATATGAAAGCAATGCAAATGCCAAGGTGGTGTTCAAAGGGATTTTGGGGAGGTAGTTGCAAATGCGAAAGTTTTGTGCGTTGCTAGTTGTGCTGGTGGTGTTTTGGGCTGGAAAATGTGCAGAGCAGGGACAATTCCCCCTTTTGGGGAGAATCCCCCATCATTTTTGAAGAAATGATGATACATGTTTTCCAATTTTTAGGTCTAAAGGTGGAGATAACACACTGTGGACAAATGAAAAGGAAGTACAGAGTGTGCAATGTCACTAGACGACCAGCAAGTCACCAAACGTAAAGTATTTTGCTTCCCTTTGACTATATGTTTAATCTTAGGCTTTTATTTTCTTTATGGATTTCTTCAACACAAGATAAACAGCATAATACTCCCCAGAATTGTTGAATATGAATTTAATATCAATTGGGATCAGGTTCTTAATCTTGCCAACTACCAAGCCTTTTTTCTCCCCAAGAAATCTTTTATCACTAACCAGGGACTTGCAGGTAACTTCAAAATGGCATTAGTTTTGTGAATCTTGTCGAGGAATCACTGTATTCTATGGTTGGCTTATCATAAAATGTAGGACTGAGCATGATAAATAAGCAAAAAATATTAGTTGTTGCCTCTAAGGCACCCAGTCTTAGGGAATTGAGTGCGTTAGAGGCTTCAGCTATTGCTATTCAGCTTATGTTACAGCTTCAGACATCACAAATGTTGGAGAAACAGCCTTCTGTGGTACTATTAAAAGACACCTGATAGGAGCAGTGATGGCATCTTAATTATAAAAATTATATTAATATTTAAATTCATTAAATAAAAAATTAAATATTTAAAAATATAAAAAAATACACATAGGCCGTTTTAAAAAGAGAGGATGAATTTACAGCAAACTTAACTTGGGTCAAGAGTATTCAGCGAGCCTGGGAAGATGTTTTAGGTAATGCAGTGACTTATTTTTTCCCCATTTGATTTCCTACAGATTCCCACTTCAGCAGGAGAGTGGACAGACAGTTGAATGCACTGTAGCTCAGTATTTTAAGGACAGGCACAAATTAGTTCTACGCTACCCTCACCTTCCATGTTTACAAGTTGGACAGGAGCAGAAACACACGTACCTCCCTCTCGAGGCAAGTAAACGTCCATATAATAGTTTATTATATATAATATATGCATTATATGAGGGGAGGCAGAGAAAAAGAGGCTGAACTGTTGATGAATTGTCCTTTAAAAGTAGCTAATTTTAGAAATAATAAATAAGCAGAAAAAAATAACCATTGCATGTTTTTTTACCTTGAGCTTTGTGGGGCTGTTTCAGGTGTGCAACATAGTGGCAGGACAAAGATGCATAAAAAAACTGACGGACAATCAGACCTCCACTATGATTCGGGCAACCGCCCGCTCGGCACCTGATCGTCAGGAAGAGATTAGCAAATTGGTGAGTGCTCTGGGAGCAGAGGGGGCTGGCAAACCTGCTCCTGCTGCCAGAATAGAGGACGTGGGAGCTGTCAGTACCTTTTAGAAGGCTTCCTCTTTCTGAAAAGAAATTTCAAATGCAAATTTTAATTGAACTTTCTGATTTCAGTTAGTTAATTTTTTTTTTTTTTTTTTTTTTTTTTTTTTTTTATTTCAAATATTGAAAGCAAGTATCCAAGTGGAATTAGTGGAGGCTCAAGTTGCTTGGCATAACCCACATGTAGGGACACCTCTTCAAGTATAATTACCCCTGAAAATGTTAAATGTTGACTTTTTTTCTTCTGCAAGCAACGTTTTCTCCCTTTACATTTCAGATGCGGAGTGCAAGTTTTAACACTGACCCTTATGTTCGTGAATTTGGGATAATGGTCAAAGATGAGATGACCGATGTGACCGGCCGAGTCCTGCAGCCTCCCTCAATCCTCTACGGAGGCAGGGTGCGTTAAACCACTTCTCTGTTACCTGTGACCATGGGGATTACCAGCTGTGGCAGCTTCTCCAAGATGGTTATAACTGGTTTTGAAGTGAATGAAATTGGATATATAGAGGGATAAAGTCATGATTGGTATAATGTTTAGTATGTCCTTTTTTTTCCCTTTTTTTCCATCCTTAAACTTAGCATACTTCGTGATACATTGCCTCTCTTGTCACTTCTTTTTAAAAGCAAAGGTAGGGCAAAAATACGTATTTTTCCCTTGATATGTGAATAAATCATATTTATTTGATATGAATGTATAAATCATATTTTATTTCTCACTACTTAGTGAATTGTGCAAGGAGAAAATTACAAACAGGATTTCAAATCAATAGAAAATAGAGAAGAATCAGTAAAATCAATAGAAAAGAACAGAGACAAATTCTGTTTTTTTAATTATTTTTTGCCTCCATGAACGCTGAAATCTGCCTGAATTTCAGCTTGGATTTGGAGAGTTCTGGGGCAAGCAGCTGTGTTTAGCACAACTGTCTTAAGGTATTAGCGCTATCAGTGTGTTACTCTCCAGAGCCACCCCTTCATGTTGTAGCATTTGACAGTTTTTTTTTTGCTTTAAAATGGCCTGTCAGATGGTCTCCATCACACCTGCCCATGCTCCTTTTCCAAAAAAGCTTAAGAAACAGGATTTTTTAAAAATCAGTTGTATAAATGTTTGGTTTTGTTTTTGCATCAATTACATAATGTAACTCCTGCTTTTTTCTGCAAGAGGGTGAGTCTGAATGTCTATGATAACATAGTGTGTGGAGATTTCTGCTGCACGTGGTGTAAATTAGGCCTCATAGCTGGGAACAGCTCCGGTCCCAGGCACACATCAGACCGTCCGCTTTGTCACCTGCCGTGGGGAGGGATCTTGAGCCTCTGCCTTAAGGTTCTTGAGCCTTGCCCAGACAGATTACGTGAAACCTGCCCTCCCTGCCAAGTTGAGTTAGCCCAGCTGCCTTCGCCTGATCCAGATTAGGGAAGAAGCTCCCATGAACCGCGGTGTCACCGGGAAGCGGGAGTGAAACCTCAGAGACAGAGAAATGGCAACGAGTTGGGGTGTTGGGAGGGGGGGGGGATCTGCCTTTACCAACGCAGCTCCCTGCAAGCGAATTAGCAAATTTGTGACTTTGTCTTTGCTGCACAGAGACTGCAGTAACTTGTGCAAAACAGCTAGTGGATGCTAAGACTTATTAAGGTAATTAACATCAGCAGAATCACTTTAGTCGCCTTATTTTGGCCCTTATCCTCGAGATAATCCATCACAATAATGTCTACTCGATAGGAGAAAGAGTGTTACACAGGTCAGAGTTCAATATCCAGCCATCTTTTGTCAGCTCTTTCACTTTTTTATTACAAGTGACCTTGAACCACTATTTGTCTCCCTTTATTGACGCTTTACGCATCGATAATACTTGAATTAAGTCCTTCAAGTGTCAGGAAGCTAAATAAATTCTTGGAAAGTTCACGGAGCAGTTGGGAAGTCACTACAGAAATGTGCATTCCTCTTACTACTATTTCCGTGTTGTGACTGATTTATCTCTATATAATTTTACTTGCTGATTTATATAACCATCGTCATCATCAATAAAAATGAGTTTGTGATCACCATAAGCTTTACTTTCTCCCAAAATAGCAGACTCTCTTTTTAAGATAAGTTGGAGATTTGAACAACCTGAGACTATTAATAGCCTGCAAATTAGAGTGGAACAGGGGAGTAACTGGTTTTTGTTAGTTCAAATTCTTCTCTACATAATTTTTTTTTCTTTCCACTTCCAGAATAAAGCAATTGCCACACCAGTTCAAGGGGTTTGGGACATGAGGAATAAGCAGTTTCACACTGGAATTGAAATAAAAGTTTGGGCAATTGCATGCTTTGCTCCCCAGCGCCAGTGCACTGAAGTTCATCTTAAGTAAGTGTGTTTCCTAAGAGGATGGTTTGATTATGTATTTGTCATGTAGGGAAGTATCATACACTGCAGTTGTTTGTTTACTAGATACCTCTCTCTCTCTATAATATATCTTGTTTTATTTAACATGTTCCCATATGTCTGTAGCACAGTTTTAGATGTTCTAGCACTGCTTTCAGTGTCCTGGGTTTTGAAGTTGACGGTTTTTGTACCATGCAAACCCAATTTCAGTGTTTCGAAATCCTCCGGGTCAGAAGCAGCTTACACTGTATGGCAAATTTCCTACCTCAATGAAGCCTTGCAGAGAGTTAAAGATGATTAAATAGCAGTGGGGACTGTTGAGGCAGTGAACAGTGACAATCACTAAATATTTCTCGATACTCAATTTAAGTATATACTTGAAAGGGGCAGTAAAAAACCTATCTATGTTGAATCTATTTAAAAGGTAAAATTTAATGTAAAGCAATCAAATTTTGCTCTCCAGTTTTCTCCCCGCTACCGGTAGAGTAACATATAAATTCTTGTGTTTACAAGATCGGATTGTTGCTTTGTTGACTTTGAGCATATGAATGAAATGTAGCTTTCAAATATGGTTTCTCTACTTTGGGGGGCACAAATAAATGGAAGACTTTTGGTAAAAGTGATACCTGCCTGCCTCAAAACGAGATGAAACAGTTTCAGCTTAGGTAGACCTTGTCCTTATCCTGAAAGGAAGCTCCTTCATCCTGGGAATTTCTTTGCATCCAATCCCAACAAGTTCGATCTTCTTGAGCAAGTTGAAACTCAGCTGCTGTCGAGTTGTTGAGTTCTTAGCTTACAGTGACCACCTTCCAAATCCCTAAACATCTTTAAAACATTTGGCTTTAACTCTTGGGAGCAGTGAAATCACCTTTCCTGTTTTCTGCTTTTAGTGGGGCCTGTTTTGCCAGGGAAAATGTGCAACATGCCTGTTTTTGCAAGAAGGGGCTGAGGCTCATGTGCTTTTATGGTCTCTGGCAATAACTTTGGATATAGAGGAAAAAAAAACTTCACATCCTCAAGTGGGCAGGACTGTTACCTGGCAGCCTCCTGTGGAGACAGGCGGCTTCTTAAGCACCTATGGGGACATCTACTCCAAAATAAGAAAAGGACATGGGCAACATTGATGATAGTTAGGAAAAAGTGAAGTTTCTCCTAATTTACACAAGGCACTTGATGTTCTCCCGCTGTTTTCCTTCAGTCACCAATTCAGGAAAGCCATTTAATTAGAAATGCACTCAGGGTGAAATCTGCGTATTTTTATACAGCTCAACTTTTCAAGTATAACAATTTTCCAGTTATATAACAATAATTTTCCAGTATATTTACATAATTACCAATATATTGTAAATATATTTTCAATACATTTACAATAATTACATTAAAAAGGAACACAAAGTCAAAATGTCTTTTTGTCACTACAGAGCCTAATGTTTGTGTGTCCTTCAGGTCCTTTACGGAACAGCTGAGGAAGATTTCGCGGGATGCAGGGATGCCCATCCAGGGGCAGCCCTGTTTCTGCAAATACGCCCAGGGAGCCGACAGCGTGGAGCCCATGTTCAGGCACCTCAAGAACACCTACACAGGGCTGCAGCTCGTCGTGGTGATTCTGCCAGGGAAAACACCCGTCTACGGTCAGTATGTGCAAATCACGAGTGGGTGTGTTTGCCAGCCACCATTTCCTCTGTTTGTGTGAAGTGTCTGAATGGCAGAAGTTTCTCGGTGGTGGCCAGTGATAGGACAAGGAGTAATGGGTGTAAGTTGAAACATAAGAAGTTCCATCTCCATGAGAGGAAGAACTTCTTTCCTGTGAGGGTGACCGAGCCCTGGAAAAGGCCGCCCAGGGAGATTGTGGAGTCTCCTGCTCTGGAGGTCTTCAAAACCTGCCTGGATGCTGCCCTGTGCCACATGCTCTGGGTGTCCCTGCTGGAGCAGGGGGTTGGACTAGATGATCTCTAGAGGTCCTTCCAACCTCAGCCATTAACTTTGTACAAATTCCATGTCCAAATGGGCTGTACATCAGTTGGGTTCCTTTCCTTGTGCTGCATGATGATGCTTCACATTGCTACTGCATTTTGAATTTTCCATTTCAGTTTGCCACGTTACTTTGTCATTCCCGTTTGCTCTTTCACATTCATTTTCTTCATGATACATCCAGTTAGTGAGAAGGCTGTAATTGAGGCTTATTATAAAATTGTTTAAAAATTTCCGGAGGTTTCAAATGCACTTACAGCAAGTTGTGTGCTAAAAGCTCTAATTGAGCTCAAAACCTGTGTGGAGCTTTTAAAACATCTTTGCTGACTCAGCCTTTGGCAAAAACCTGCCTGAAGAGGAAGATTTCTGCCAGTGGATTCTTTTTTTTCCTGATCTTTTAGCTTTTAACTCTTGGGCTGCAAGGACACAAGCACATAGAAGTTTATAGGTTAAAACTCAGCAACATTGAACCGCTTCAGAAGCAGACTGATAATTTGTCCATTTTACAGGGCTCATCCCTATTGGTTTAATACCTTTCAGACAAATTGTTTTTAATTAGCTCATCCTGTACAAAAAACTACTCCATTTTCTTTCCTACTTTGCCCGATTGCAGGATCATCTACCTTTTTTTCCCCTCCTGGAGCTTCTAGGACTCACACTCAGCTAATGCAGATTTGGTTTCCTCCATCCCATCTCCTCAAATGAATTTAGCAGAATTCCTTTTGATGATGTCAAAGAGGGGGACTGCCTTTTCTCCAAAAAAATGCAGTGTTGCTTCAATTCCTTTAGAACACGAATTTCTTATTTTCCAGAAAATCAGATTATGGTGCTCTCGGAGCCTGCAGTCTCAGTTTTATTATTAACAGGAGGCTTTGTTTAAACATCTAAAGAGTGAAACTCTTAATGAGATCCTTGTGGAGTGCTTATGGACCATCCTTTGCTCATCTGTCCACTTCTTATACAAGTCACGTTTAAAACTAATGAAGTGATGAACTGGGAGGGCTGTGTTCATGGGCTGGCAGAGTATTACCACCTTTATTAAGTTTGCAGGTTTTGTCCATCATTTAATGACAAAATAGCTGTTCATCCTAGTATCTTTTTCTGTAAAAACAAAAAATAAAGAACAATTCAGTCTCCAAGCAAATCTCCTTTCACTTCTACCTGCTGACAGTACAGGAACTGAATCCTAATGATAATATTTATTTTTTTTAATCTTAACTAAGAATTATTTCCAATTACACTAATGGTAATTTCAGAGGTTTTGTGTTTCGGAAGAAGCTCTCACTAGTCAAGTCTGTTTATGTAAAAGAAAAAAGCTAGGACGAAAAAAAACCATTTGCTAAAACTCTAGGAGTGCTGAATTAGTCTCCTTCAGCTTGTGATCAGCAATGTGCAAATACTCAAATTTTTTTGCTTTGTGCTTTGCAGCGGAGGTGAAGCGTGTGGGTGACACAGTGCTGGGGATGGCCACGCAGTGCGTCCAGATGAAGAACGTACAAAGAACGACACCACAAACCCTTTCCAACCTCTGCTTAAAAATAAACGTCAAGTTAGGAGGTGTAAATAATATTTTGCTGCCGCAGGGAAGGTAAGAGCTTTCAGGGACGAGGGGTTTGTATTACAAAGGGAATGCAGATCATATTGATATAATATAGGTGCTTTTATCTGTAGTTGATAGCACTGGGAATTTTTATGTGTCTCTAGTCAAAATATCTTTGGAGTTCTAGCAGGGTCCTGCAAAAGTTGAGTTACAAACGCTGCAGCAAAATAGCTGTTCCACTTCAAAGGTATAAGAAAAGTAATAAAAATAGCATTCCTTCTATTTGAAAACTTCAAAGTTGGGAGCAGAAAATGTTAATTTCCGGTTTACTTTGCAATTCTTTGTCGTCATTACAGTGCTTTACCTAAGCACTAATATACACAATGGGCTTTGGTTATACTGTGATATACTCTGGAAAGTTGCTTGGATACTGTGGAATTTCATAGTTAACAGGTCATTAAGTTCTTTGTATATTTGATTAAAGCGAGAGTGAAATGTCCTCTTATTTTTAAAAACTAATGGACCCTGTTGCTCAAGATTTATCAAGGTCTATTGCGTTAGTAATAAATGCTCTCAAACGGAATCTTTTTAGCAGTTTTGTGGGGGGAAAAAAAGCCATTACAGAGAATTCTGATGGGAAAAAAAAATGAACAAAATTCAGCTTATTTTATCTTACCTGTGTAGGATATGGAGGACTAGCCTAGAGGTAGATACAGCTAGTTTAATTAACAAGAACAGCAAGTTCTCTGCTTCAGTAAAAAGATGAAATTTTTCCCATCCTTGCACGTCAAACTGTTGAGAGCTTAAGGAATAACCTGCTGTATCATTCCTGGGATCCTGTTTCAAAGAAGTGAACGCCCTTCTTGACTCAGATAAGCAAATGTTCACTTCATATTTAGGCTAATCAGAGGGTAACTGCTGAAAAATAATCCAACAAACAAGCACTTAGGGGAGGAAACCAAGCGTGTTATCAGGGGGGATGTATATTTTGTGTTTAAATCATGATAAAATTCTGAATATGCTCAGTTTGGATAATACGCTTGTCTAAGCCTCCTCTAGTAAAGCAGCTAAAAATAATTAATTACAGAGCATTCACCTTTCATGGTTTTTAAAAAGAAAATGAAAGTATAGAAACTGCTGTAGAAACAAAAAAAAGGCCCACACTATATCAACAGTTTTGTGTTGCTTTCATAAATACGAGTTTTTTTACTCTGTGGCAACAGTAACGTGGCCAGAAAGTTGAATTCTGGTTTTTATATTGACAAATTATCCATGCATGAAAATGGAGTTAAATGAAAGGAAGAAAGAAGAAACAGCAGAGCTACACAGAACACCCAGGAATTTCAGACAAGTGCTTTTGGGGGTTACAGTTTGTGGTGCAGTGTTTTGGTGTTCTGCTTTTGGGGCAAGGAAAGTAAGCTCATGATTTTCTAAAACTTTGAAATTTGTTTCTTGAAAGGCTATTTTTATAAATAATGTCTACAACATCCAGATTTTTCATACGTCCTTACCAATACATTTTTCCTTTTTGTATGCACAAAATCATAGTGGTCATGTATATGCACAAATCTTTAATTTTCTAAGATGTTGCTTGATCCTAAGCAAACAGATTTAATCTCTTCTGCAGTCCAATTCCTGAAGGCGGCAGTTTTCTAACTTAAAAAGTACTTTTTCATCCATGTTTTGAATGGAAATTACCAGTTTGCAACTAGCCACACTTCAAAAATATACGTGCATGTACTGAGTGTCTAGCATGAAAACCCTAATCAGGAGTTTTGTGTCTTGCCTCGGGACAAAGGCTCCATTTCAGGCAAGTGCAAATTGTTGACTAATTCTTGTCCCTGCTGCAGGAGGATGATGTGCTATTTATTTGAGTTATAATATCATACATACTCTACCAAGTTGCCTTGCTGCTTTTACAAAGCCACTTCTTCTTCCTTTTCAGACCACCAGTATTTCAGCAGCCTGTTATATTCCTTGGTGCAGATGTAACTCATCCCCCAGCTGGGGATGGAAAGAAGCCTTCTATTGCTGCTGTGAGTAAACTGCAATAATCTTTAACCCCTGCTCTCCCCAGCTGCTTTGCTTTGATTCATTTCTTCCAGTTTGGTGCTTGCTTTCAAATACTTTGAGTTCCTTTTCTTCTTATTGCCTAATTATAGCACTGCATATTATTTTTCTAGAGAATTTAATGAAACTTTACGGATCTTGCTCTGAAGTAACTACTTAAATCCATGTATTCACTTGTGAAATGCCTGAGATGCTAATATAGAGAGGAGCTTTTCTTATTGATGACCTCTAAGAAGTCAGAGTATCTTTAAAACTGCCTTGCAGCAGTTAAAAATATTAAAAGTTTGTCCATTACTGCTAGTGAAATATGTTGGTCCAGCTGTGTTTTTTGTTGATTCTCTCTTCCAGGCAAAACAAATTGGGCAGTGATTTCTCAAATGCTCCTGGTATAGATGAAAAGACCTGTGACTTATTGCATTATATTAAACACATCTTTTAAACTATGAACACTTGTTTTCAAAAAAAAAAAAAAAAAAATACACATATGCATCCAAGTCAGGTAGAGCTGTACTTAGTACAGCTAGAGGTAGAGCTGTAGACCACAGGTAGACCACAGGTAGACCACAGGTAGAGCAAACTCAAAGCTTTGCCTGAGCTTAATTATGATTTTGACTGCATCTTTAGTCAACCCTAAAGATTGTAGGATACTGTTAAAAATACAGTTCAGTTATTTACAAAGGTTTTATTCAAATGCTTTCAGGTTTGGTTTGTGGTATGCTTTGGGTTTGGATTTCAGCTTGGGAGTGTTTTTACTTACCTATTTTGTGAACAGGTTGTAGGAAGCATGGACGCGCATCCGAACCGATACTGCGCCACTGTCCGGGTCCAGCAGCACCGCCAAGAAATCATCCAGGATTTGGCTGCCATGGTCAGGGAGTTGCTCATTCAGTTCTACAAATCAACCAGATTTAAACCAACTCGCATTATTTTCTACCGAGATGGCGTTTCCGAGGGGCAGTTCCAACAGGTTACTTTCTTATTTTAAACTTTTAAATACGTAGCTTTGTATCAGGCTTTCTGGTCAATGGAGTTCCATGTAGCGGAGCAGTGAGAAGAAATATTCCCTCAATAGATATGTTGGACTCTCACCACGAGAAGCAGAAAAGCATTTGTGTGTTTTTTAGGAGCTTTTCATATTTTTTCCCTTAAAATACTTGCCTTTGCACAAGTGAATGCACAATTTTAATACTCCAAAGCGTTGAACATAGGTGACTTAAGATATTTAGTCAGGTTTGTTCTCAGAGCTTTCTGTACCATTTATGTTCTAAGCGTAAGCTAATATTCTTATTTCTTCCCCAGAATTTATAAATCCTGTATGGCTTTTCCATGTCAGTATTCCTACTATTCATTTATTCCCTGTAAAATCAACAGGTATCTTCTTGTATTTATTTTGCTTTTGTATGAACTTCAGGGCTTTTTCCTCTCACTAATACTGATTTTTCCTTTTATTGCTGCTTTCCTCTGTATATTTAATTCATGATTAAGGTAATTACGATAAATCCCCCCCTTTTTTTTTTCTTTAGTAACAGTTCCTTTTTTTCTAGTTTTTATGGGTTCTTGTAGTTTATCATATGAGTTCACAAAGCTGAGAAACATCATTCACTTCAACAGTTCTGGCTTTTATTCCTTGAATGAGTCTGAAAAATAATTAGGCTGTTGTGTATTCAGCATCGTAATTAGATATTCATTTATATCTGGCAGTTAGAAAGATTTTGACATCCAGCTTCTTGGTCCAAGCCTCATATTTAGAGTTGTACAAATATGGAAGCTAATTCTGGCCCTGCAAACTCATGACCTGATTTGTTCTCATCAAATGAAGAAGTGAAGATTTGAACCCACATGCTTTTACATTTCATTACTCTGAGTGACAATGCAAGAAAGGATGTTATAAATGAGAGTAATTAGTAGAAAACAGTCTTTCATATCTGTCACACTCTTTTATTTTTATGCTTCAGGTTCTCCACCATGAGTTGCTGGCCATTAGAGAAGCCTGCATTAAGCTGGAGAAGGATTACCAGCCTGGGATTACATTTATAGTTGTGCAGAAAAGGCATCACACCCGGCTCTTCTGCACAGATAAAAATGAACGGGTAGGTTGTGATCTGTGACCAGTTGAATTGTCCACAAGCTGCATTAAAAAATTGTGGCTGGCAGAAGTGCTACTGGTGAAGTGGTGGGATCTTTCTGCCTGCAGAGGAAAACCTTCATTTTCTGTTTTTATTTTATAATGAATAGGCCTGGGGCTTTTATGAAAGCACAGCAGCACAGCAGAACATGCTTGTGACATCTTTTTTTTTTTTTTAATTGCCATTTGTCAAGTTTTTCAGGTGCCCTTTGAGTTTTTGTGCTGGCTCAAGTTCCTCAGGGGTTGAGATTCATTTTTACTGGTCTTTTTTTTCACTTGTGGCTTTTTAATTATCTTAAGATAATTAAATCCTCAAATCCTTACTACATTTATCTCACGATCTGGGTTTTGTTTCTCTTTTTACTGCACAGCTAAAGAGAAGAGCTTATCTGTGCCTTACTAACGGGGCGTTTTCTGGTTTTGCAGGTTGGAAAAAGTGGAAACATTCCAGCGGGCACCACAGTGGACACAAAAATCACCCATCCAGCAGAATTTGACTTCTACCTGTGCAGCCATGCAGGGATTCAGGTAGGGCATTTGAGGGGATGCAAACATTGAATGATAGCGTTGGGCTATGGGCACCTACACAGATGACCAAGGATTCAACTTCTCAGTATTCCTGGGTCATCCACGACGCTCTTCCTTGATTCTTAAAACCTAAAAGAAGCAACAAAACTGAAGTGCTTGCAAAGCTCAGCCTGCACATTGAGTTTGTTGTGCTTCCCTCCTGGCTGTCTGCTCTCTAATTAGCAGCAAGGTAGGCCAGCTGTTCCACAAAACTGCTGCTGGATTAATGGAGCATTCCCTAAAATATCCTCGCTCTCTCCATGGACTAGAAAAGGAGTCTAGACTGCTAACACACATACATAGATAAGCACCTTAATAGCATATATACATATATACACACACACACACACACACATACACACACACACACACACACACACACACACACTTTAATTTCATTCCTTGCCCTTCTGCTTGTCTGGAAATCATTGCCTTTCTGTAGCTGAAAGTTACAAGAGACAAAATGCCTCTTGCATTAAATTCACTTGAAACGTGTGTCCAGTCACTAGGGTATAACTAGCACTTTAAGGTATCACCTTTGCAGTTTTGCATTTTCCTGTGATTTCTTCCCTGCAGTCAGGAAAAGTGACAATTAAACAGTAGCAAGAGGACTAGGTATCAAAATTTAACACTCTCTATAAAAGGATTTTCAACATAGGCACCAGGTAAGTTGCTCTTAGCTATTAGTGGTGTTCCTAGAGCTACCTGTCAGATTGATGCTTCACAGGATCGAAGTGCACTTCAAAGAGTGCTTGAGGAACAGATAAAACTTGAACAAATGCAATCTGGTGCAGAAATGCAAAGGGGTTAGTTATGTGGGGAGCAGGGAGGGAGATTGGCCTTTCCAAAGGAACCAAAAATGCTGAATTTTACGCAGAGTTGGTAGGATACAATTTTGAGGAAGCAGCCAGTTACACTGCAGGTCAGCTGGCAGGGCGGGAGTCAGAGGAGACCTTTTCGGGATGCTGATGTCCTACATGGTCTGCCTGCAGGGAACCAGTAGACCTTCTCACTACCACGTGCTGTGGGATGACAACCGCTTCTCCGCGGATGAGCTGCAGATTCTCACCTACCAACTGTGCCACACATACGTGCGCTGCACCCGCTCCGTCTCCATCCCCGCACCCGCCTACTACGCACACCTGGTAGCCTTCAGAGCCAGGTATCATCTGGTGGATAAAGAGCACGATAGGTGAGTTGAGGCATTTGGAGGTTTTACGTGACTTGAGAGTGGGAGGAAGGATGTGGACTCGCTAAGTTGTGGGTCAGAGGTACCTTCAGTTAGTAGTCTGAGGGTGAATTTGGTAAATTCCACTGAATTACACCATGAAGGAGCAGAAGATGCTTCGATGTATCTTCCTTTCTGCTATTTCAGAACTTCAGTGGTGCTTTAACAGCATTAACTTTAGAGCGTTTGCAAGTGTTTGATGTGAAGAGGGATGTGGAGCTTTTAGAGAGCGTCCAGCAGAGGGCCAAAAAAGATGAAGGGACTGGAGCATCTGTTATACGAGGAGAGACTGAGGGAGTGGGGCCTGTTTTCCCTGAAGAACAGAAGGTTGAGAGGGGATCTGATCAATATGTGTAAGCACCTGAAGGGTGAATGTAGGGAGCATGGAGCCAAGCTCTTCTCAGTGGTGGCCAGTGACAGGACAAGGGGTAATGAGGACAAGTAGAAACACAGGCAGTTCCATCTCCATATGAGGAAGAACTTTCCTGTGAGGGTGACAGAGCCCTGGAACAGGCTGCCCAGGGAGACTGTGGAGTCTCCTTCTCTGGAGGTCTTCAAAACCCACCTGGATGCCACCCTGTGCCACATGCTCTAGGTGTCCCTGCTGGAGCAGGGGGGTTGGACTGAATAATCTCTAGAGGTCCCTTCCAACCTTAATGATTCTGTGAAAATGTTTTTAAGAGAGGCAGATTAAACAGGGCTTCTTCTCACCTCTTCACCCGCCCGTATTTTCTTCTTGCTCTCCCTCCCTTCCCTCTCCAGTGCTGAAGGAAGCCACACTTCTGGTCAGAGCAACGGCAGAGATCACCAAGCACTTGCGAAGGCAGTTCAAGTCCATCAGGACACGTTGCGCACCATGTACTTTGCTTGACATGTTTTAATGTTCAGCGACTCCGTGCGCGACCAAGTTGGATTCCCGCGAGCCCAGCTGCACTTAGACCACCCGATGCCCAAGCTGCAGCCACAGCCAGCAAGGAGGGATGCATCCCAATCCCTTTTCCCGTTTTCCAGAAAGCCTTCCGTCCAGGATTTCACACTTGGTTACCAACTGCATTCCTCTGCAAAACCCCACAGTCGTTGGAAATGTGGTTTGCCAAAAAATTCTCTTAAGCTGCTTGTTCCTAAACAGACCCATATTTTCTAATTAACTCAAGAGCTGGGATCTCAGGGCTTAGGGAAAAAAAAACCCGCCAAGCTCTTTGTTCAGCTGGCTATTCATCTGAATGGCTTTTAATAATTTGGAAAGATTTAATTCACACTAAAGTTGAGGGGCTACAATGCTGTGAACTAGCTTTTAATACAAAGGAAAGCAGAGCATTTTTTGACTATTTATGCCTTGTTTATTCTAGATGCATTTACAAAACTTTATTTTCAAAAGGAAGAAGTGACAAAATTCTGATTTTTTCAACTGTCTTAAAAAGATTATTCTCTGTGTGTCTGAGGGTAAATGTATTTTCTGACGCTCGTTCTTGAATGTTTTTTATTGTGCTGCATTTAAAAAATGTTTTTCATAGACTAAATATGAAATTTTAAGAAAAAAAAAGAACTTGTACTTAAACTTTTAATAGTTCCAGTTAGATTGGCAAAAGAAAAGGTGCCATTTAAAAGAAAAATGTTAAGAGCTTTTTTTGTTTGTTTGTTTTTTAAATCATACTGACAGCTAATTTTAGAATTTGTCATACAGGACTGTGACACTTAACTTTCCAAAGTCTCTAAAAAATACGGGTCTGTGGTGATAAATACAGTACAATCCTTTTTCACTGTTATGTTGGAATTAATGTAAATTTTATATATGTTTCACAGTATTAATGTGATAGACTAGATGCTATTATTTATTTTTTATTTACTAAGGAGTGCTCATTATACTTCTGTTAACATATCAAGAACGCTTTGGAGTTGGAAACTGAAGCCTGAAGGGGGGGGACGTGGCTCCTCGGACGCGGAAACGCGCGGCCGACGCCGCTGCCCGGGGCTCATCCGGCGCACGGAGGGATCTGAGCGTCGTGGTGAGTCCAGCCTGGATCCCTGCGGGGAGGCCAGCGTCCCGCTCGAGCACAAAACTGTCTTAGTTCTGTGTTTGGTGCCTGGGAGGCAGAGGGGCTTGGACCGGGGCGCTTCGTCACTCCGACCACATCAGGAGAATCTATGCAGTAAAAATCCTTTGGGAAGCGACGTGTGTCGCTCACCGGGCACATGGAGCTGGCGGGCGAGGAGGAGACGCGGCAGCCCTGAGCGCTGCAGCCGCTGCTCCCGCAAACCCGAATCCCTCGGGAAACCTTGGCACTAAGGGCACTGCCTGAGCAGGATGGGAGCCCCCCCGGGCACCCGCTCAGCTCCCCCTGTCTCCTAGTGCAGACCCACGGGGTCCTTCTGCTTCCTCTGTGCTCCCCGTTGCTGGTTGGGGCCCATTTACCTCTCGCCGCGGAGCTGGGCGACCAACCTGAACCGGTGCCATGTAGTGGGTGCAGGAGAGCAGGTGGCTCTTGAATAAGCTACAAAATGCCCATTTTTTGCTGCCTCAGAGCTCTAGGTACGGAACTCGGTGCGAGGTCGGCTCTTCGTCGCTGTTTTGCTGAAGTAACGATGCAAAATCCGTTGCTGTTGGATTGTTGGAGCAGTTGTGTTGTCCTTGCTGGTGTTTAGGCTTCCTGGGGCTGAGCATCTTGGTTGTAATAAAGTTACGTGAAGTAGTAAGTTTATGGCAAGTAAATCCAGACATTACGCGGGGGTAACATTAAGCAAAATCCAGGTCATGTTTCCATCTTTGTTCCCTGCCCGCCCTGTTCCGTAGCGGGTGAGTTCTGCTTCTCCGTGCGTTCAGCCCGGGAGGTTTTGGCATTCAGGGAGGATGTTCATTCGGCCAAGTTTTATAGAGGAATTTATTTTTTTACGGATTTTCCTTAGCAAAGAGGAAGCCGAGCAGCCAATTTTGAAGCTGTGCTTGTTTAATTTGCTGTCATTAGGCAGGGACCTCTTGGATGGGACGATCTCCCTCCTGTTCTGGGAAGGGCAGATCCCAGCGCTTCCCGGGAAGTGGGTGGTGGGGACTGCATTGCACCTCCCCAGGATGCATTTTCTGGGCTTCAATAGCAGCTGCAGCATTTTGTGTGGGAGCAGGAGCATGAAGCAGACCCATCAGCCACATGGAGCTGTCATCTCTGTCTCCTGTTGGGATGAACAGAAAATTCATCCCTGGCACAGCTTCCTTTCCAAGCTTGCTTTCCCGAAGAAGATGAACCATCCCAAGGGGTAGTAATCAGCGTTTCCAACCAGGGGCATTTTGACCATTTTTGGCTTTTAAAGGTTTTTCCACTGCTCCCTCCCTGCCTTTGATTTCCGTGCTCACCCCTCAACCACATGGTGAAGCAGTGAATGGCTGAAAGCATTTCATTTTATTATTTTTTTTCCAAAAAAACCCCAACTTTGCAGGAAGTTTATACATGGAAAAGGACTATCGCTCTGGGAGGATTTTTAATGCAAGTAAATCTGATCCAAGAAGAGCTCCCTCATCCTTATTTTTGTCACCTCTGCTAAAAAAAAAAAAAAGAGCAATATCTCAGGTAAACACCAAAGCAGCCGCTTGGGAACAGGGAAGGGATCAAAGATACAACCGGTGCAAAGCTCAAGTCGGCTCCAGCTCCTCCTGTTGGACCCACTAGACAAAACCACTAACTCGCCGTGCAGCTCAGGTCAGCAATAACCAAATGCATTTTCCCACCCGGGGAGCCCTGGGGGAAGCGGGTGAATTTATCTGCAGTTGGCTGCAGCATTTGGGAGCAATCGGAACGTTTTCCCTTTGGATTTGGCCTCCAAGTGGCCGGAGGGTCACTTATCAGTGCTTGTTCTGGCTGTGATTGGGTCAGTATTTCAGCTACAGTAACTGGATGCTAAATTATTCCGGGGGGAGTTGGTGACCCGCCGTGTCAGGAAGCGTCGCCCCGGACGCTTGCTCCCGCTTTGGGTTTGTTGGGTGCCCCATTTTCCAATCACTTGCCCAGGATATTAGGAAGTTGGTGTCTGTTCAGCAGGGGAAATCTCACAGCTAGTTACATTTGAAGCAAAAAACCCTTTATATATTTATGCACGCGTGTATATATAAATATATATCTGTCCTCCTTGTCTTTTCCCAGGTTACCTTCCCTGGTCGATGAAGCCAAAATGTTGCCAAGGTTTAGCTTTAATTCCTGTTCTATCAGCAGCTCTTAGGGCTGCTGCAGAATTTTAACTGAATCCTGTTTATTTTAATAGAGTCGTTCTCAAAGACTAAAGCTGCGTTTTTCTCACAAGGATTTTGAAGGTTCAGGTTCCCGTGTGCTCAGGTGGCCTAAAAAAAGGAATGTAAAGCAAGTTCTCTGTGTTCCTCACACTCAAAACCAGCGTATTAAGATGATATTTTCCCTATTTTTTAATTGTTCCTCTCCTCCTGTCACATCTTTGTGTTTCCCCTGCCAGGGTGGCTTTCCCAGCCTCTAACACCCAACAACACTGGTTGTACTTTGATATTCTGTTCGGTCTCGCGCTTCTGCAGTCTCTGCTATGGAGCACTGCAAGCAAAAGGTAATTGCACTGGTTATTTTTCAAACTCCCTGTTTACTGTAGGACTTCTTGGCCTCTGCTGCAGCTCTGGGACAGCCCTTCCTTGTGGTGTTTCAGGGCTGCTCCCTGTTCTACAGCGTCAGGACAGGAGCTTCGGGCCGCTCACCCCGCTCCCCATTGGCATTTTTGCTGCCAGAGGCACTGGAAATGCCTATGGAGGCTGAAATCCTCCTGAAATCCTGAGGATTTGCTTCAGTTCTTAGGTCTTAACGTGAGCAAAACTACCCCAAAGGTGGGAAAGGGAGGGATGCTGCTCTCTAGGAAGCATCTGGTTGTGTTTGGAAGCATCTCTCTGGGTCCTCCCTTAGGAGCCTATGGACACTATGGACATTGCTCTGGAAGAGGCTCCGCAGCGCAGGCCTAGGAAATGTTTTTGAAGAGCCAAATATTTACATTGCAAAGCTACATTTAGCGCAATACTCATTTTTTCTTCTTCATTTTTCCACGGTCATTCTCATATTTTGCCCCTGCCTTTCAGATTCACCCTCATGCTGGGCAGCTTCCACTTACTCCGATCTTTCTCCTTAAGAGCAACAAAAATTCCTGCTGATCCAACTGCCACCAGGAATCATGGCTAAATTGTCCCCAAAAATAGAAAAACAAGGTGGTAGTTGTTTTTTTTTTATTTCCCTTTTTACAAAATGACCTAGTTTGGGGCAGTAGAAATAGTGGGTTTGGGTTACTTGACAGGGGGACAGGGTATATATTTTAGGCATTTACAGAGCATAATACGTAGGGAATAATTTACCATAGACCTTTTGTGGGGGAAGAAAAGTCCATTTTTTACGTTTTGCAGATGAGGGCATTGGCTCAGGAAAAAAATAAAGCTGCAGGGGGAGGAAATTGGATGTATTCCTGAAAAAGGAAACTGTAAGTTGAGTGCAGTGAGGAGACACAGACGTGGTGAAGCTGCGCGCGCCCTCCTCCAACGCGGCCGTTCCTTTTGGGGCACTTTGAGACATATTTGTGTGTATTGGACATGTGTATATATTGCCTATGCAATATATATGTACATACGTATTTGTATACATACACCTGCTGGCCAGAGGAGAACGGGAGCTCTCCAGGAAGCTGCAGAGGCAGAAGTTGGTCACGGTCCAGGCGCAGTTTTCCAGCAGTTGGTGGGATTATGTTATTGGGAAATGTGGCCAAAATCAGGGCAATTCCCGAGCAAAAGCCCCGTATGGACCGGGACCGAACCAGAATGTATTGCCAGAATCCCTTTTTTTTTTGCCATTTCATTCCCTGTTTTCCTAAGGAGTGCCGCAGGTTGTGCTGAGCTTCGAACCTGTGCATGTCGAGGCTCTCCCATTGTTATTTTTGTAAACTAGCTGGAAAGAACCAAAAAGGAGTTGAGAAGCGACACGCTGCCCCCCAACCAAAATGCTTTTTTTTTTTTTTTTAAAGACCCTTTGAAGTTTACTCTTTTCTTGGGGGAAAAAAAAAGGAAGAAAAGAAAACTAAGCAGGAGAAAGCGGAGCTGCGCCAAGGCAGCTCGAAGCCTTAACGCGCCGAGAAGCTGCTCGGAGTTTTTCCGCAGCGGATGCCGAAATTCCCAAGGCCGCCGGCGCTGCTGGAGGCGGCTTCTCGGCCCCATCTACCTCACTTGACGCGTCGGGTGCTGTCGGCTCCGAGGGGCCGGAGCGGCTCCGCTGCCGGCTGCTTGGGGGGCTCCCGGCACGAGGGAGCAGCGGGCAGCGCTTTTGGGTTTGGTTTGGGGAGGATTTGGGTTTCTTTTCTGAGCAGTAATCCGTAAGTTGAACAATTGTTGGGCTATTTTTCTGTGTTTTGGAGGAGGAAAGGCTGAGGGTCCCAGCAGAGCCAGGCAAAGAGCTGCCCCGGCAGGAGGCTTTTAGAAGACCAAACCCCAATCCTGCGCGTGCATTTCTGTGATTATCTGTATTTCGGCATGTATCTATACGTACACCTATACATACATACACACCTGACACCAGATGGGGTCTGTGTGTATGTATGGACACGTATAGAAAATGAAGGGATACATGTGTAAGGGGGAGGGAATAAAAATGTCATTGTGTTTTCCACAGTTTTGTATTTAACAGTTTACAACTGTCTGTGTTTTTTTCTACTCTGTAAATTGTTTTTTTAACTCAAATATGATTCCTTTGAGGGAAATTATAAGCTGTGATAATGCTATCTTTTTTTATTTGAAGTTAAACAAAAAAAATCATCTTTTTACCAGTAGCATATAGAGAAATGGGGGCAAAGGGGAGGGAAATTTGTTCTATAAATTGTATTTAGCTTAAATAGCAAAGAAAAATAGTAAAATATTATTATTGGAATAGTAAAAGTGCTGACATTCCCTAGGGGCAGGATTTCCATGCTGGTTTCTAAGGCTTTTTGCTGCAGAGAGACTCAAACAGAGGGGAGGAGGAAAAAAAAAAAAAAAAAGTCTCTGATAAATGTTTTTATAACTCTGCTCCATCAGGTCTTTACTTAAGCTATATTTTCTATATTCCTGCTTTTGATATGCTGCATAGAAACTATCAGCATGGTTGCACTTTCTCTGTGACGATAGATGCCCGGCAATTGGCTACAAGGACTTTAGATTTGTACCGAATTTATTTTGGGCGGAAGGTAATTACTTGTATAGGTACCTCAAGGAGAAAAAAAAAGAAGAAAAAAAAAGCCTGAATATGCTGCATTTTTGTTCCTTTAACATTTTCTGTGTAGCATTTGTTTGCCTTTTTTTTTTTTTCTTTTTCCATGGATTTTTCCAGCTCCCTGTTTGGCCTTGGGGACCCTGGTAGCGGTGAGAGTGTCAGTTTCCATAGTGCTCCCAAAAAGTGGGATCCGGCCACGGATGGGATCGGGGGAACTCCAGGGAAAGACACTTAACGTAGGGACCTCCAGGCCAAGGACGCCCTGCTCCTAAACGGGGCTATTTGTGTTCCTCATTTTCCTTAGTACCTCTTATTTTCCTCACTTTCAGCTTTCTTGACTCTTTTTCTCAGCTACAGCCCGTGCCCACCCAGCGCCTCGCTCGGGCTTTTCTACTTCTTCCTTTCCGAGTTGGTGAAAATCTAACAGAAAAAGGTGCAGAGAGGGGGAAAGTTCTTTGAGAACCGTTGAAGGAAGCTTCGAAGGCTGTGAAGTTGTGCATTTCTTGTCATGTTTTTAAGCGTAGGTGGGTCCTTTTCCGAGTTCGTTTTACAGCTTGCAAGGTAAAATAGTTTGCACTACTTTTGCAATAAACTCATGAGAAAAAAATGAAAACCTAACAGTTTCTGTTTTGGTTTCTTACTGTGTGTATATATCTATACAACTAATACTAAAGATTTAGTGTAGTGTTTTTCACCTCAAAACATAAGACTTGTAACAAGCTCAGAATGCTGTAATTCCTGACAAAATAATGATGTGAATGATATTTTATAAAGTTATTTTGTATGGTGTCCATTTCGTTTTGCCTCATAGTATGTCAATAAAAGTTCCTCATCTTTACAGGCGTCAGCGTGGTCCCTTTGGGGTGTGTTGGGGTGGTTTTGGGTGTGCAGGTAGGATTAATACAAAATGTGCTGTTTTAATGGGATTAAGGCTGGAAGGATGCATGACCTGGGGCTGGTTCTGTCCCAGTTTGGCACTTCTGTAATCACCTTGGAACCTCCAGGCTGAATTGATGGAGAAAAGCATTCGAGTTGGTGTCCTTGCTGCGGGACAGTGGAGCTCACTGTGCCCCACGCTCACTGATATTTAATCAGAAAATAGGGTGAGTTTTTACCAGTTTGGGAGCCATCATCCTTCTGGTGCTTTGCAAACCCTGGGGACCCGGGACTATGGGAGTTTATGGTCTCCCTGAGCAGCTGGAGTGAGGAGCATCTCCCAAACTGTTAATGCAGACATGGAAAGCCCTCCAGAAGAGGCCAGCCCATACCCTGCAGCAGGGGCCTGCTTGGGATTCCACCTGCTCTAGTGTCCACCCATAACCTTCCAGAGCTCTGGAAAGACAGGAATGTAACAGATACTTTGAGATTTCACCTGCTGGACTCCTGGGTCAGCTCGTGTCCTTTGCACCATCCTCCCTTGAGCAGCTACAGGTGTCTCTGCCCACTCGGACACAACTCACCTCTCACCCCAGGGCCAGCTCTCCAGCCTCAACCTTTCCGACAGCTCCCTGTACTTCCAATAATTAGGGAACAAGCCAGGCCTTTACAGGCATCCCGCTGCCTGCAGCTTGGGAATTTCGCTTGGCTGTGGGTGCAGCATTCCTGAGAGGAGCATAGGGCAGGGCAGCTCAAGGAGGAATCTTTACATCCTGACTCTCCTCTCCTATGATTTTCTTTTTGACCTTGTTTGTGGCCCAGCAGCTTCCTCCTCGTGCCTGGCTCCTGGTGGGCATCCTGTGCAGGATTCCGCCCTCGCCCGCTCTTCCGAAGTAGCTCCAGTGGCGCGAGAGGGAGGATCCAGCACAGAGACTTCCTGGCGCCTCCCTGTTTGCCCAAAAAAACAGTACCCTGCAGGAGGCCTCTCTTTCCCGGGTGCTTATGGGCAGCTCAAGCTCCAAGTGAGGGGATTTGGAGACTTGGCACCTTAATAACCTTCTTCCAGGCTTGGAGAGGGCAGCCCGGTTCCTCTGCCTGCCTGCCAGGTGGGTAGTGAGACAAAACAAGGGCTCTGGACAAAGCAATCGTCACTTTTCATAGAAAACATTTATTTTAAAAAGTTTGTATACAAAGTTCGACCTAGGACTTGTGCCATTTCTGTATTAAAACACAAACACAAGAAAATTGAATAATAATAATAATAAAAAAAAAAGCTTTACCACTCAAAGGTTGCTCATTCACTTGCCATTCAACAATCTGCATTCAAAAAACCTAATGACATCCATCTGGGTAAAAAACCACAGAGACACTGCAGAAGTAGAGACTTCTCTGGAGAAAAAGCAGCTTCTAGATGTACATATTTACATCATTATCTAACTCTTTTACTTTTCCCCTCATTAGCTGTTGGGAAGGATCTGATCCTTGAGCCCATTTCTATGCTGAAACAGCTCTTTAGGCTGCGTTACAGAAGCAGCTTTTTTTTTTTTACAGTTTTTTTTTTTTTTTTTAAATGGGCTTGGTCCCCTGCTAATGCCCTGGCTCTAGAAAACCCGGAGGAGGTTTCATCAGATACTGTCATGGGATAAAGAGTCTCCCGCATTTTCCACCCCGAGGGAAACCCCAAACGAGGGGAAGACTCTGAATAGAGGGAGAAAGAGCCTTGGGCCCGAAAGCTGCGTTGCCCACGAGACATTTTCAATTTGGTAACGATTGTCTGAAAAAGAAATTTTACATTGTCCAAGCAGCTTCTGCTGTCAGATTTACAGTAACTTCTTTCTTGAAAGTCAGATTTACAGCAACTTCTTTCCCTGTGTGATGGATATGCCCTGTCATGTGTCCGAGAGAATTCCCTTCTTCAGCAAGGATGAAGTTCCACTTCCGAACTTCTTAAAGCAAAAGCAGATGGCTCAGTGTATAAATATGTCCAGCATCTGGATTTTCAGTCACCAACAGAGCATCCTTTATACAAAGGAAGATGGATTCACTTGTGAAGGAATTCCCTTAGGATCCCACATCCTCACCAACGCTTTCAGCTTCATCATCATCATCTTCTGCCTCGTCTTCCCCTACTTCCCCATCTCGCTTCTCTTTTTCGAGCATTTTTAGGTATTTGCTGGCTAGGATCTTCTTTGGTAAGATATCTGAAAGGTAGAATTGCTTCTTGTGTAAATACAGGTTGGAATACCCAAGCATCTCATTAATACTGTTGCATCCATCATCACTCCTGAAACATGGCCCAAAACAAGTAATTGGAAATTATGAGTTTAGTGAGTAACTAGAAATCTACCCTATAAATCAACTGCAAGAAAAGGAGGAAATTGCCCATTTAAGGCAGATGTAACTACAAACAAAGACCACGTTTTATAAAAGCAATCACAAACAACTGGCTTTGCTACTTGTTCACATACATTTTGGGATTTGGTGTAAAACATAGAAAGGATTAGAACTCAATTACTTAGGCTACTTGCACAGGTTTAATGGATAACTCTCCAATTTACGCTCTGTGGAAGCTGTTGGCCTGTACTCAGGTGAGCCTGTTCTGGGGAACAGTGTCAGCTCCAAAAACCATCCCATCTCATTAACAAATAAAGGCTCTGAGTGATGATTTGGGCTACAACGTTATCTAGCAGATTAACAACCCGCAGGGGGATCGTGTCGCGATATCCTACGGCATCAGACCCTTCCTGTCTGGGTGACGCTCCGGATTTCCCCTTCCGTGGGCGATACCTGCGAGGAACTGGAAGGTCTCACACTCCTCGGCGGTGTGGGACAGGTCGCTGTAGGTGAGGGCGCCCTTCTCCTTGCCCCGGCCGTGCTTGTAGGAGTAGGTGGCCAAGTACTGCACGAAGAGCTCCTGGAAAGCAAAAGAGCCGCGCGGTGAGGCCCCGTGCAGGGCGGCCCCGGGCGCGGGGGCCTCTCCTCACGGGAGGGAGGCGCGGAGGGGCAGGCGGTACCGTGGCCTTGGCGGTGAGGAAGAGCGCATCCTGGTTGATGCTGGACACCTCCGGGGAGCTCTTCATGATCACGCGGATGCGCGAAAGGGGCAGCGACACGAGCCGGTTCTCGCCGCCGCCGCTCAACCTCGCCGCCATCTTCCCGCCCTCCCCGCGAGCGGCGCCGGCGCGGGGAGAAATGGGCGGCTGCCGCACAGCCTACTGGGAGCAGCAGTCTGCACCGCCGCGCAGCCCTGCTTGCTGCCGCCGAGCCGGGACTACAAATCCCATGAGGCACCGCTCTGCCACCACCAGCCCCGCGGCGGTCGGCGGAGCGGACTACGAGTTCCATGGTGCACCTCGGCCGGCCCCGGGCAGCAGGAGGCGGACTACAAGTCCCATGGTGCAGCTCGGCCCGCCCCCGGGGCGCGAGCGGCGCCGTGGGCTCGCGAAGGGTTCGCGCGGTTGCGGGACGGGGATTTTCCCTGAGTTTTTTGTCACAGGGCGCGTCTCCAGCCCATGTCCTCGCCGCCGTGCTAGGACGATGCGACAGCCCCGGGACCTCTGAGGCTGGAGACTGCTCTTGCGATTTACAGCTTTTAAAGGCAACCTGTGTCTCTTAGACAAGAATAAAACCCTCGAGGGCGCACTTTTTTTTTTGTCACTATTTAATGTTATGTCTGGCGCGAAGCAGAACGCGCCGCTCTGATCCTTAGCCCTGATCGTGACACCTCTGATCTGATCGTGACACCTTGTGGAAACGCTCCACATTGCTCTGGCGGAGGAAAATATGCTGTGGGTTTATGGAAGTCTGTCACAAATTCCTCATACAGGCAAAAAATCTGTGATTCTGTGAAAATCCATCACATCACGGTCCTTCCGCTTCTCCTCCCGCTTGAGCCACTTGGGCTCCCCAGACTTGGATTGGGACCTGCTCAGTGCTGATAATTTTGCACCTAATGAGCTCTAATGACTTGTGTCTAATGGAACGGAGTGACCCCAGCCATGATTTGTCTTGTCCCGTCGTGAGGAATTCGTGTTTATCACCGTCACCTGCACTTCCCTGCAGCCATCTTTCATTTCGCTCCATAAAATACTTAGAAAAAAATACTTTCCTCCATTGTACCTTTATTGGATGCTATTAAAAAATCACTATAAACTCAAGGTTTCGGAATTCTCCGGAGAAGGGAATCTGGAAGAGGTGTCTGCAGAATACCCCAAAGTTACGAGACACGTTGGAACACTATGAGCTACAAAGCAAGTGTATTAAAGACATATTCCTGTGACTAGGGCTCCTTAAAACCGAGCTGCAAAGGGAGTGAAGTAAGAGAAATTAACTAAAGTGACGTTTTCTGCCTCAAGCCATAGATAACTTTATTTTTCATTATCGTCAAAGTATGCATACAAGAACTAGCCAATGTTTTAGTTAGTTTTATCAGACTGCCTCGTGGAGGCGTAATTACAGAGCGATTTTAAATTGTTAATGTTCCGAATGACAGCAGATTCCTCAGCGCGTCATCTTAAGTGAGCGCGGGAGGAGCTTTCAATAAAAATAAATAAATAAATAAAACATCTTGGCAGTTGGCCCTCACTTACCAACTAGAAAGCGTGTTTGTAACCGATGGGCAAGCAAAGCCTGTGCGCTCGCTAACTAAGCATCATTCCCCGCAGCTATCGGCAGTATCGCCAGGCGGCAGCGCACCGCCGACCGTTAACGGCTCCACCGGCGCGCGCCACTGACCGTTAACGGCCGCGCAACAGCCGCTCTGCGCACGCGCCAACCGCCCGGCCGCGGGGGGCGTGGCCACGCCCATTGCCGTCAGTTCCGCCCCGCCCCTCCGGCGTGTCCGGCCGCGGAAGGAGGCGGGGGCGGTTCGTGTCCCGGCTGTGAGTGACCCCCTCCCCCCACCCCGCGTTCCCCCCCCCCCGGTTCGTACCCGTCGGCCCCGGTGGCCGTTACGGGGAGGGGGCTCGAATCCGCCCTCCCCCCACCCCGTGCACGCGCCCGTTGGCCGTTATTCGCCCCCCTCTGCGCCCTCAGGGGAGCGCGGTCCAGGGGATTCGGGTCCAGCATGCCCTGCTGTATAATTAGTAAAAAAAACAACGAGGAAAACTTGAAATCAGCTTCGTTTCTGCCCCATGCGGTCCCAGGCACAACTCTCTGTTCGTGGTTCTGGTTGAGAATGCAGTTACTGTCACTGTGCTGCTTTTGTTTATTTACTTATTTTTTCCCCATAAGAGGATGTTTGTAAGCTGAGTGCTGTCAGCAGGTCTGTTGATCGAGGAGATATGAGGGGAAAAAAATGTTCCAACTGTGCCCATCTTTGTAAATTGCAGTAATACAGTCAATTTTTAGAGCTTGCAGGGGATTTTAAGTATTTACGTGGAGAAGTAGTTGCCTAGATAAGCCCATGTGTGTTTTGGGCCTCAGCTCTGCTTGAAAAAGTCTTGTGGACCTTTATTTTTTCACCTGACCTTGTGGAAAGTGTGGCAGCTATATGGTTATTCAGAGCTGGTGCTAAGTTTATTCTTCTTTTATAATCATGTTTTTTGGTGCTGTATTGTGGAGACAGATCAGAGAGCTCGAGTACAGCTGTGTGACTAAGAGCGCTGCTTGTGCTCTATATAACTTTGTGTGGTTGAAAATACAGTAGAATGCTTCAAATATTAGTATTATGGAGCAAACAGCAGTGTTTTAGCTTGAAAAAGGGAGAACAGAGCAGCTAAATATGAAAGAAGTTCAGAGGAGCATAGAATATACAGCCTGTCGAAATGTTTTAGAGGCCAAGTCCTCAAATCTGCAGCTGTGGGCACGTGTGAATGCTTAAAAATAATACATACTTTTCTGTTATTAGCCCCCAGAGGAGGCAAAATGAGTGTCCCTGACTACATGCAGTGTGCTGAGGACCACCAGACGCTCCTGGTTGTGGTGCAGCCCATCGGTATCGTGCCAGAAGAGAGTTTCTTTCGCATCTACAAGCGGATTTCAGCTGTGAGTCTAGTTAACGTGCGCGACTCCCAGCGCGTGCTGTATATCCGCTATAGGCATCACTACCCACCAGAGAATAACGAGTGGGGGGATTTTCAGACGCACCGCAAGGTCGTGGGGCTGATAACTATTACGGAGTGCTCCTCCGCAAAGGAATGGCCTCAGACCTTTGAAAAATTCCACCTCCAGAAGGAAACGTATGGCTCGACGCTGTACGATTCCCGCTTGTTTGTCTTCGGCCTGCAAGGGGACATCGCAGAGCAGCCGCGCACGGACGTGGCGTTCTACCCCAGTTATGAGGAGTGTGAGACTGTGGAGAAGAGGATAGAAGATTTTATTGAATCCCTTTTCATCGTGTTGGAGTCTAAGCGACTTGACAGAGCCACGGATAAGTCCGGAGACAAGATCCCGCTCCTCTGTGTTCCTTTTGAAAAGAAGGATTTTGTGGGTCTGGACACAGATAGTAGGTAAGCAGCTATTTTTATCAATGGGCAGGTTTTGAAAAACATATTTGGCTCATGTTAGCCTCTAGAATAAGCCTACCAGAAAGGACAAAGCATAATTTGTTACCACAAAGGTTGTGCGTGTGTGTCTGTTGTGATTTAAGAGAATCTGATTTACTGTCTGATTGTATTTGGTGTTTTATGTTTACCTGTATAACTATTTGTGAAGCTAATCAAATACTAAGGTGAAGTTGAAGAAGAGACTTGACAGATTCCACTGCAGTGAGACTTCTTATTGAAAAGAAATACTTTATAGCTAGTAAGTTCAATTAACATGAACAAAATTCATTTTATAATTTTGTCTAGTATTTCCCTGATCATACCTAATATATTTTTTCCCAAGACTGTCTTCTTTTTCATGCAACAAAATAGTGTTCATATGATTTTGCTGACTGAGTTCATCATCTTGCCATATTCTTCTTGTTTTCTCTAATTATTTGATGACCTTGACCCATCTTGGGTTGCTACCATTCCATTCACAAATGTTATCTTTGGGAAGAGGGTCTGTCTATGTTATAGTTGTTGTTATAATTATGTTTAATTTATGTCACATCATTCCCACCTAATTGTGTGCTCAGTGTTCAGATTGGAGTGTTACCTAGTTCTGGTATTAGGGATTAATAACTCTGGTTTAGCTACAAGCAGATGCAAAATCTATTTCATTCCACTGTTCAAAGGCAAATCCAAAGTAAGAAATCAAACATCTTCCTATCATCTTGGAGAAGGTAGACCTGTGGAAGTTGCACATAATAAATGTGAGAATAATATATTTCAAATAAGTGTTTTAAGATTAGTTATCTCTGGTAACCTGAGACGAAGGCCAGCACCACCTTCCCCCTGCTCCAGATCCTCTTTGGTGCTGTGCACTTGTTTCCAACTGAAATAGTTGCAAAGAGAAGTTTCCAGCTTCTCTTTTGGTATTCTGGTTAGTCCCTGCACTATTAATTTTTTATTAGCAATATAAATTATTACAATATTGTTTTTTTTTTTTATGGGCAGCATGGAAAGCTAAATTCTGTAGCCAACATTTTTTTGGAGACCCTTTTAGTCGCTTGGCTTTAGTTACTTAGTTTGGATGAATTTTGAGTCATCCTAATAACCAAAATTCCATATTTTTAATTAAGAATGCTATGACATTTTCTGAAAATTCTTTGCCTTAGTATCAGAATTAATTTTGCTGTCTTTCTTTAAGTAGCACTTTTCCAAAGGTTAAAATTATGTATTGTAGAATTACATATTTTTGAGCATTGACTGGGGTACTAGTGGCCAAATTTCTTGTGAAATTCGGTACTGCTGAAAATTCAAATAACAAGATGTATATTTATCTGTACATACCCAAGAGGAGATTTTGTGCTATTACACTGAACTCTGGTAACAAATGTAGTGTCATGCCTCAACTCTTTGCAAAATACAAGGTGCATGACCCTTTCCACTCATCCTGGGTCATATGTAAGTCAGTGTGTATTATTGAACTAAGTGCTTTTTCTGAACTTAACTCCTCAAAGTAAAAGCAACATCTTTCCTCTTCATCTGAAAAATAAAAATGCTTTCTGTTTTTTAAAAAATTTTGCTACGAAATTAGCACTTCTGATTATTTTAAAACTTGGACTATATACAATAGCATACACAAGCTGGATAAAAAGATCTTGCTATTAAATTTAGTATTTTGCATTAGGCAGGAAACTAAGAGAATGTTCTAAGTATGTCATTGACTTTTGTAACAGACAGGACATACTTATGTAATCACAAATGGATGGGGATGACATTCCTGACTGGGAAAAAGGACGATTTTAAGAAAATCTGTTGTCCTTGATTCGGTCAGAAATTTGTGTGCATAATATATGTGAGCCCGTTTACACACTCTTCTTGGCACCTTTCATATATCAGTAGATAATCTCTTTCTCTGTGATCTGTTTAGCAGGAATTCAAGAGTGTGAAATGTGGTTGAACTGAGATCAATCTATTAACTGATTTAAAACAACTTTTAAAACAATTCAAAACTTGAAAATCACACTTAAATCTTTAGATGTGAAATACTACTGTATTTCATTTTATTACTTGAGTTTCAAGAAAAGCTTTTTATTGTAGCATATTCTCTTTTGTAGTGACTGGTTCCATAAATAAGGGGAAATGATTGTTTGAAGTCGTAATATGGAGTGTTAGAAGAGACTTTATTACACTTGACTCCAGTTTCTGTCTTAGGAAAATGTTGCTCTGTATAATTCTATCCAGTGAGGGACTAAATGTTGTCTAAGTGCTTGGAATGCATAAGAAAACGTTTGATATAAGAACTGTATTGTTCGTTTGTTTGTTTTGTTGTTTTAATCTTCAGGAATGATGAGTTTAAAGAATGAAGTAAAACAAATTATTGAGATAGGACAATGAAACAACCTCTCCTAAACAGAGGGAAAGTTCTAAAGGGGGAAAGGCAAAGATTGTCCTCTTAGTTTTTTCATATCCTGTTTTTATTCTTCCTCACGTGGTTTTCACTTTACTGGGTGGTGTAACCTGACTTTATGGTCAGTGAGAAAGTAACTGCTACAAGACCCTCAACTTTCTGTATTAAAATCATGACAATTAGTTTTTCTAATGGACAGTACTCATCTTTGTTGTTGTTGTTGTCTACTTAGTGTAAATAAGCAATTGTTTTCCATCAGTTTCCAAATTTTTGAAGTAAAATTCAATAATCTGTAGCAGAGGTCTCAATAGATTTACCTGGGGGTTACAGCAATACTCTAATGAACCAGGTTGACATTTTGAGGGAGAAAATGTTAAGAAGTTTTATGGGATGTAGTAATTATGATCATGTGATTTATCTTTTTTTCCCCCCAACTAAAAGACTAGCTAAAACTACTCAACTTTTTAAATCTCTTAAGATGAAAAGAGACTTTTCTCCAACAGTTTTATGGTAACATACTAAGGTTAGAGCTATGGTTGTGATCTGAAGTGGATGAATAGGATTGATATATTGTCTTGCTCAGTTTATAAAACTCACGTTAGTATGAAAAACTAATATTTGATGGTAGGTTGCAGAAACCTAATTGCTATCTTTTGATGTGTGGTGTTTGTAAATTATGACCCTGAATTAAACTGCTTTTTGGGTAAGATTCCAAGGAAAGGTGCACTTGATCTTTGTCTTTTGACAGGTTGTTTGTACACTTGAGCTGATGGGATGATTTTACCATCCCATCTCCATTTTACATATAGAGGCAGTAATAGAGAAAGAAACATTGTGCTGTTTGTTTTGAATAACTTCTTTGGCTGATGAAAAACTCGCATAAGAACTTTACCTAGCAAAAATAATGGGATCTTTACTGGTGAATCTTAAAAAGTGTTGAAGAAATTGTAGAAAGCTGTAGGACTGGGAGTCTGACCTGAATTTAATTGCTAGAGGAGCCAGTCATCATGTGATTTTGACAAATCAATTAATCTTCTTGTATTTATGTTATTTATCTGCAAATTACATAAAATATTGTCACAGGGCATCTAGGATTAGTTGAAAAAGGTATTTTTATTAGCAGTAGCTCTTCATAGTTTGCAGATTAGCAACTGGGAACGAACTCAGATTGAAGGGAATGGAATTGTGTAGTCCAGTGGGAACATATGTTTATAGTCTTATAACTTAAATAACCTATATTCATAGTCTTCCAAAGCTGACACAGGAAAACGTTCTTGCCAGAAATAGTATATAGGGTCAGACCTAGCACATGCTGTTTTAGACATAATAGACATTTCTTCATCTGTATTACTGAATATAATATTGTGCAGCTTTTTTCTAGATATAGGATACGTCTTTTCCTTTGAAATCAATCCGTTCTTGACCATCTTGACAAATACCATTTGTTTAAGTTTTCTGTGGCCTTTCTTTCTTTAGTTAAAAAAAAAATCCTCAGCATGCCTGTATTTATAATCTTTCTAGATAAGCTCATTTTAAATGTTGTTTATGTCAGTTTGTGTGTTAGGTTTTTTTTTTTTTTTAAATATTCTAGAGCATCTATTTAATACTACTGAGTGATTAGAAAGTTGAGCTCTATTTGTAAAAATCTCTTTTTCTAAGTAGTATAGTTGGTGGGATTTGTTTACTGATCTGTCAAACTTTGTGATATTTAAGTATGTGTACGTGGCTGTTAATTTTCTTTCTGTTCTTTGTCTTTCTAATTTTTGTTTTGTTCCTTTCTTTTTTCTTCTTCTCTCATACTGCCCTGTGAGTTTGTTGTTGGGTCTAAAAAGGTAGGCTGTGATCGTGTATGTTTAAAAATAGTTAGCTTTCTTCCATGCCCTGGCTTTCCACTCTGCCTTCATTGCATAGTTTAGTATTGCTTTTTATATTTGTTTTTCTGTACCTCCAAAAACTATTGCTGCCTGGTCCCTCACTACTGTTGTTGACCCCTTTTGGCACATTTGGCATCTGTATTTGATAGCAATGCTGATTTTTTTGTAGGACACAATAATTTGCTTAGGTGTCTGCTGGCCTCTGGAATTTGCTTTCTTGTTCAAACTCCAAAATCATGAAGCTATTGCTGCCTGTGTTTGGTTTCCAAATTCAACAGTTCTGGAAGTCAGTCAAATGCTGTAGCTGTGTTTTTTAAGTCTGGATAATGTTATGATTGGTGATATCTATAGTTATGCATGCTAATTGGAATTGGCAGAATTCGATGGAAATTTTTGTTGAAGCATTTTGCATGAATACTTTCCTGAATTCATTTTGCATGTTTTTATTTTTAAATTTAGCCTTTCTGAAATTTTGAGGATTCAGAAATTCCTTTCAAACTTGTTGCTTTGGTTTGTAGTGAAAATAATTTCTGTCTATATGATTTCTATCTATTTCTATATTACTGTTGCTCTGAATTTTCCAAATAATATTCTTACTGCCATACTAGGCAATTTTAGCTTCAGGAAAGGTCAGAGAAGAAAAGAGTTGGAGATGGATGGGTAAAGAATATATCCTATATAGCAAGCAAGGTAGAAGTGGACATGAGTTACAGTAGTGCTTACTGATTCCATGTTGAAAACTGGAATGGGATGTTTCTCAAGTTTGAGGTAGTAGGAGTGGTTACTGATGATGATGATGATGATGATGGTTATTACACTGAAGAACACCATATTTTTGGTATAAAACTACCATGGCTGAGAAACTTCAGCTTTATAGGCATATGTCCATAAATGTGCTGAGGAGAGGACCTTCTGAAGAGGGATTTGGATGATAGTCTGGATTTATGGAATATATAGCACGTAGTCCTGAATTACACGACATGGCCTTCTCTGAGATATCTTTGAGTGCATCATGCTTGCTGAAAGGGCCGCTTTTTGTTGTGTCTTTTAGACATCTTAAATAATCCTCCTGGGGAAGAAGTCATATAAACAGCACTTAGCAGTGATATCCTAGAAAAGTAGCAGCTGGCTTGTATGGGTTTCCTGCCATTAGATAGAATAGGATAAGACAATGGGGAACCAAACAATTAAACAATATTTAAATGACAATTAAATCATGAGGTACCTCTAAGCTTCTTGCTGTAGCCTGATTCTTTGGGTAAAGCTGTGAAGCTTCATGAATGATGGTATTTTTACCATAGGTGGGTCAGCCTGTATGATATTTTTTTTTCCATTGAGTATACTATACGTTAAATGATTGATCCACTGATTGATTAAGTAATAATTAAGGACTTCATTAAGCCATATTGTTAAAGATATGATTTTGTAGACATGATTTTTCTGAAACAAGCTTACCAAATATGAAGTAATTTGAACTTTTATGTCTATGGGTTTAGTTTTAAAGAAATCTGGCATTTTTTGACAACCAGTGTAGCTTGTAGTTTTTAAGGCCTGAATTTCTTGTACTTAATTATGACTGCTATATTAAAATACAATTTATACAATTGTGCAGTGAAGATTTCCTCTATATTTGGTGAGGAGCATGTTCTCCAGGAGTATAGTGAAGACTTTGCAGAGAGTGTAGGGTATAGTTCCTATCTTGGCACCCCTTTTAAGTGGCTAGAATGAATCCAGTCTTTGAATGATTAATAGTTAATATCCTTATCAGCAGGAATACCTTATGTTTTAACTTGTAAAGAGGGAAGAGTTCTGAGAGGGAAATGTCATCCAGATGGGATTTGAAGATCTCCAGAGAAGGAGACTCCACAGCTTCTCTGGGCAGCCTGTTCTGGGGCTCTGTCACCCTCATAGGAAAGCTCTTCGCATGCAGATGGAACTTCCTGTGTTTTTAACTTCTACGTGTTACCCTTTGTCCTGTCACTAGCTCGCTTAGTCTTTCCTCATATGAGGAAATTCATCATCTTTGTTGCTCTCCGTTGGACTCCCTCTAGAAGCTCCATATCCCTCTTGCCCTGGGTAGCCCAGAACTGCCCCCAGTACTCCAGATGTGGCCTTACCAGAGCTGAATAGAGGGGCAGGATCGGGATCCCCTCCCTTGACCTGCTGGCAACACTCCTCCTGATGCAGGCCAGGATCCCATTGGCTTTCTTGGCCACCAGGGCACACTGCTGACTCATGGTTAACTTGTCCTAGATCCCTCTCCGTGGAGGTGCTCTCCAGCAGGTCGAGCCCTAATCTGTACTGATGCCTGGGGTTATTCCTCCCCACGTGCCGGACCCTGCACTTGTCCTTGTTGAACCTCATGAGGTTCCTCTCTGCCCAACTCTCCAGCCTGTCCAGGTCCCTCTGGATGGCAGCACAGCCCTCTGGAGTGTCGGCCACTCCACCCAGTTTGGTATCATCCGCAAACTTGCTCAGGGTGCACTCAGTGCCCTCTTCCAGGTCATTGATGAACAAATTGAACACCATTCGGCCAAGTACTGACTCCGGGGGAACATATTGGTCACAGGCCTCCACGTAGACCCGACTCAGCCACTGGCCACAGGCCTTGTACTCATCTGTTTAGTGTTTATTAGCATTAGGTATTGCTTAGGAAGAATTGCTGGTGTGTGACTAAAGCATTTCTGATATAATATTCCAGTTTAGGAGTCTAGCTTATTCTTCTTTTGCTGTAGGACTTCAACTTTAGAACAGAGATGTAAGAACTTGCAAATATGCACTCTGGAAAATATTACTTGCTCTAAAAAAACTCTAGCCTATCTCATGTAAGTCTAATGGTGTTATTAAGATTATATGTTTTTTGAATACTGTTTATTTAAAAGGACTTTCTTTAAAATTTTCTTCCAGATAAGTACAAAAAGCAGAAATTAGTAAATTATGCAATCTGGGAATTTGAAAATAAAATGTTTCATTTGCTTTTGATATTTCGAGCTCTACACTTGAGTCTCTAAATTTTCCTATTATATTTTAAAATGTTGCTACTAGCCTGTTGATTGTTGACAGTATAAACTGTGAAATGATCTCATTTGATCTTCTGGAGAGGAGATTCTTCAAAATAAATTTTATATAACCTTTCAGCTCCTCAGAATCTTTGTTTCTTGACTATAATGCTAATATTTGGAGGGAAAAAAGAAAAAGACCTGTTACAGATCATGATGAGACACTCGTATAGTAATTAATATCAGGAAAGAGAATTTGGATGATAATGAAAAAAATCATCTTGTATGTGCTTATTAAAATATTTGATGATTTTTCAAGAATAAGGAATGCAGCTTGTTCATAAAGATACAGAATATTTGAAAATTTAAGGAGAGGAAATTTGAAGTGTTAGTATTTCTGAATTATTCTGTGTAACATATTAAAAGAAATATGACATTTATAAAGTTCCTTGCCTTTTAAAATGCAGAGACTAACAAAGCTCTGATTTAAGTGAGAGTGGTGTAGGAGAACAGAAAGTGTTTACAAGATTAGAAAGATTGCAAGATTGCTGGTTTGCAATATAAAAAAAGATGATATAACAACATTTTGACCAATTGTATTTCTGTAAAAGCAAAAGCTTATATTGAAGTCTCATTAAGATTTAGGATTCTTAGTTTGTGCAAAACAGCTTTAGTTTTCACTTCAGATTTTACTGTTTTTTGCTAAAAACAGATTCATAAACTACAAGCTGTTTGGAAAAATGGAGATAAGAAGTAATGCAAATTCTTGACATATCTGAAAGATAAAGAAAAAAAGTCTTTGTAGTTTTAGGTGTTGCCCTCTTCATCATATTAGTTATGAATATGATGTGATATATATACATGGATTTATGGGATATATTTGCCCCTTTTTTGCTATATATATATATATATATATATATAAGCAATAGGAGACATACTTCTCCACTTCTTGTCAATAATACTGTTGTGATTGCTTTTCTATTTGATTTTTAAATACATGATTCCATGTTTTTCCATCTAACTTACCTGTAATTTTGTGTTCCCAAACTGAGCCATGATCAGACTGCTTTGTCTTAACCTCTTGATAAGCTTTTTCTCTTCTTTTTTTCTTCTTTTTTATTTTTGTTTGAACTAATTTTAAAAAATAAGACATCATTTCATGGTTGAATGTAGGGACCATCATTACAGTTTGATGCTTGTCTTCAACAAAACCCAGTAACATGTAGTAAATATTAAATGTTTTCATTGTTCTCATCTCTCCTAGCCTTTATACCTTAAAATTTAAAGGAAATTAATGAATATGCTGTACTTTATTGCCATTCCAGTTGTATGAAAGTGTTTATGTAGGCTTTATTTTACTTATTTATTCTTTTTGGCTGGGCTGGAAAAGGAGCTGTATTGGTGCTACTGTTTGAACTTTTATTTGAATAAATAGGAATAGGAACAGAAACTTGTCAGTTTTTGACTGAAATGATGGTGGTTGGGTTGCGTATCTAAGTGTGGAGTCGGAAGAAAAGTGGAAAGTAGTTGTAGACTTAATCAATTCTTCCACTAATTATCCCTTCAAAAGAAAAGTGCTATTTTTTACTATGCCATGGTATTTCTAAGGAGATAATACTACTTTACAGACATTACCACTCCTTTATTTTTTATTAGTATATTTTTATTTAATTTATGCCATTATTAAATATTATTAAAGCGTTCTGAAGAACAATCTTCAAACTTCATCTGGCTGTGTCTATTAATATTATATAGCCAAAATATAGCTGCATTTGGTTTCTCTGTATCTCCTCAGAACATTGATTCTTTTGTGTATTATGCTGGTTAGAATCATGCTGGATGCTTGCCTAGAGAGTAAATTAATGCTCATACATTCTTAAGAAGGAAAGTAAAAAGGTTAAGTATTGTCTCAAATAGATGTTTCCTGGAAGTAATTATAAACTGTGTCTTTTATATTGTAGGCACTATAAGAAGCGTTGTCAAGGCCGGATGAGGAAACATGTTGGTGACCTGTGTTTGCAAGCTGGGATGTTACAGGATTCTTTGGTGCATTATCACATGGCTGTGGAACTTCTGCGGTCTGTAAATGACTTTTTGTGGCTTGGAGGTAGGATTAATTGGTGATAGTGGGAAATCCAACCATCTTCTATAATATTCTTTCTGTACTATGAACAGGAGGAACAATTTTAGGTGATCAAAATGTCAAGAGTGACTAAGAATTAAAGCAAAAATTAAAAAAAAGATTAAATTGCTTAGGTTTCTTCAAGCAGGAAAGGAAAGGAAACCTTACCTGCTTGTGCAGACCATGAAAAGAGCATGAAAATGCCCTTTCTCCCCCTCCAAAATTTCATATAATCTGTGAACTTTTTGAGAGTGAGCTCTATGCAGTTATTCAGACTGTTAATAAAGACATTAAAGAATGCAGGTCCCAGTATTGACCTTGTCAGACACCACAAGCAACTGGCAAGCAGTTGGACTTTGTCCTGCTGGTCTCATTCTTTGAGTCTGGAAATCCAGGCAGTCCCCCACTTGATGGTTCGTTTTTCAAATCCTATCTCATGAATTTGGCTGTAAGGTTGCTATGGGAGATCACATCAAAGGCCGTGCTAAAATCAAGCTATGCAGTGCCCATTGCTTTTCTATTGTCTGCTGAGCCAGTCATCCCCTTGTAGAAGGTGATGAGGTTGATGAGGAGTTATTTATCCTCTAAAAATCTGTGTTTGCTATTCCCAGTCACCCTGACATCTTTTATGTGCTTGGAATTGGCTTCCAGAAGGATTGTTTTATAGCCTTCCCATTGTCACTAGGTTCTCTGCTGAGAATACACTTCATGTTCATGTAAATAAACTGACTCTACTGCATGACACTTCATTTAAATGAATTGACTCTACTGATCTGTTGGTTCTTTAATCTCCAGCTGCTCTGGAAGGGCTATGTTCAGCATCAGTCATCTATCATTACCCTGGTGGTACTGGAGGTAAAGCTGGAACTCGTAGGACACAAGGGGGTTCACTTTCTGCCGAGGCAGGCAACAGGCACAGACCAGGTAAGTGCTGGAGTTCATTTCTGTTCTGCTTTCCACATGTTCAGTAATGGCAATATCCTCCCCACTTTGTACTTTTAGTAAAATTTTGCACATAACAATGAACTGAAGCAAACTAGAGTGATACTTCTTTCTGAAATTTTTACATTAATGATTTTTGTGAGACTAATGTCAGCATGTGTGCTTTACAAAGAATTGTAAAGATTTCCACCAATCATCTGATTGTTAAAATTTAGGATCAAGGAAATGTGGACGGTTTTCAGAAAACATATATGGTGTGGAAGAACCGCACATGTGATAAGGAAAGGTTAGGTATATTTATGCTAAGATGTTTTGCTGTTGCAAAGCCAGCATTTAATAAATATCATTGTTAAAATATACTTATAAACGAGCATTGCTTTTAAGGTTCAGCATGCTTTTTATAAACTCTTAGATTGCATCACTAATATAATAATTATATGATGCTGATATGACATTGGGGACATGTCCTGCTTAACATATATAGAATTATTAGGAGAAATAACAGGTGGGGGAAAAAAATGAAAATTGAAAATTGAGGTAGCTTCCAGGACAGACTGGGTGGGATTCATGGAAAAAATATCTGTTTTTGATTTCTCAAATATGGGAAAACTGCCTCAGAAAATTTGAGCTACAAGTGATTGTAAACTAGGAAACGTATCGTAAAAGCTGGCTTTGTTTTACATGTTTTATGGAAGTTAGACTAGTAACCTGGACAGACCCAGTCCAGCTGGGTCTAACCCAGTTCAGTCACTGCTTTTTACATACTTACGTTCCTGTACAGTATTAAAAGAAGTAGAAGCTTAGTTTAACTGCCAGTAACTCTTTGGTGTGTGGTGTGATTAAAAATAATTCCTTCATTCAGAAAAGCCCCAAGTTTATTCATATGTAAATCACAACCTAGCAATCCCACTCTTTGTGACATCTTTACTACAAAAGATGTGCATTAACTGCAGATAATTTGAGGGTCAACAATTAAAATTGCCTTATTTCTGGAGAGAATTCCAGGTATACATACAGTATATAGGGATTACAATCTGTTCATTTGGTTTTAAGACCTATAAGTGTTTTTTTAAGTGGGCTACTATGGTATAATGTCACCCAGTTAGGAACCTTTCCCCACTTTCCAGCAAATATTTAACTGTATAACTGTGTGTTTAATATTGGTTCTCTCCTCTTTGCTAAAAGGTTCTCCTTTTTAGTAGATATGAAAGATAAATCCCATCAGTAAAAATAATTGAATAAGATATATTTGGGGTATATAATTGGTTTTGTTGATAAGCTATTTTGTAACTCAGAATCATTCTGTCACTGTTAGTATGCAAGCTTGTTATTGCATCTTGCTTTAAAGCTATGAACTCGGTGTGCCAAGATTTTTTTGAGAAACTTTGAACTCAACATTAATAAAATGATGACAAATTGATTTTTTTTTTTGTTATTCCTTTCAGATAAAAGTGGTACTTAATGGTGCATGAGATACTGTTCCCTTACTTTGGCTATGACCTTTTATGTTTAGGTATCTGAAATGTTGAACTCTAATATCTAGCCCAAAAGATAGTGAAGTCATTTTCCTCCATCTTCTGACAGATTCTTTTCCTTGCCTTTTGCTGATTCTGCAATGCCTTTCATTAAAGCCCTTTTTCAAAAATTGCAACCTTTTTTATACAGTTATCTTGATATGACTAAGATTGTGAGGAAAGGGTTTAACTTAGGGAACTAAGTCCAGTGTAGCTCTCTGCAGAGTCAGTCCAGATTTCAAAAAGGTCTTGGATTTCCAAATTCTACCTCCACCAAGATATAGTTGAAACTTGTTTTCAGCTCACATCCACTTTTAAGGAATACAGATGTGCCAGTTATCTTTTTATCTTCCTGATCTGCCTGGAATTGCCCCTCTTCTAGCACGTGTAGCTTCAGCCTCTTCTTGTTATGCCCCTTGTGCCCAGACCTAGCCAAGAAAAACCTGTTCCTCTTGAGTCTCTTGTGGCTTACACTAGTTGGCAGTTTTGGGACTCTTGTGCAAGACTGGCTACTCAGTAAATGGTGTGGTATCTGCTTTATTAAAAAAAAAAAATCTGGGGAGAGAAGCAATACTGTCTCTCTTTCTATAGCATAAAACACAACTTTGAGAGGTGTTATTTTCTGCTGAACACAATTATAATGTCGTATTTCACAAGTACTTGGGAAGTGTTGCAGCCAGCAGAATTTTTGGCGGTGAACCTTTCAGTTTCCTTTGAAACTCCATAGAAGATGTGTTGCTATTTAGGAGTAATTCATTCACAAGAGAATTATTCAATAACATCACATTGAAAATATTTGCCTGAGTAAAGTAGATGTGTAGCCTTGGTTTTTCCAAAGATAAATTTCTTCCATATGGTCTCACCTGAACCACTTGCCTGCAGTATCTTTCTCATAGCACAAAGTTGTTATAACAAATAAATGTATTTTATTTTGATTGGAGTGCTAGGCTCTTAATTTTATCGTCAGACTTTCTCGTTCCCCACTAAGAATGAGGAAACCTGAGTGAAGTCTTGGAGTCTCTTCTTGATCTGAACCTAAATTTGTAGTTCACTAGTCTGGAGAGTGAGAAAATCAATTGAAGTCCTGCCACTCTCATGGAGCTTTGGGCTGCTAAGCTCTCAGTCTTGACAATTTTATTGTCATTTTTGATGAAAGCTTAGGGTCAAAGATATTATATTTCCAATTAAACTAGTTTACCTTCAGCAGCTCTGTCAACCCTCTGCAGCCTCACTTGTTGGGTAAGCTGTTTTCAAATGGATGAAAAAATTCATGGAGTGAAATTAAATGACAATTATAAGGGATATATTGGTTACAGTTACTTAAAAATGTTACTCTAGAGTATTGTGTCGATTAAATGAGTTCCCATACAGAAATGTAAGAACCGTTGGACCTTGATTATTAAAATATACTAAGTGGACTGTCATAGAAACTTGCCAACTAAAACAAGAAATAAAAAGGATTAAAAAAAAAGAAAGGATTTGACTTTAAAATGCACTGTGAAAAATTAGTCACTTGTTGATTTGTCTCAAAATTAATGACAATGTTAGAGGAATTTTGCATTTTTTGACAAAATTAGATTTAACATATGGTGATTACTTATATGTTTGGCAGTCCTTCAATATAGGAATGCTGATTCTAATAAATTTTATTATTTTGTTCAAACTTGATGATAGTTATAAACTATATTGTAAGAGCTTGTTTTGTTGGCTGTATTAAAGGCTGAAAAGAAATCATTTTTGTTCCTCCTTTTAGGGGCACAGGAAGTTCTCATTGATCCAGGTACATTATTTTCATGCATGTTTCCAAAATCTTCTCTTTTTTTTAGTGGCACAGAGAGAGTAAGAAGCAACTTTCACAGTAGTTCTTAACCGTAACTGTTCAAGGAGCTTGGACCAGCTCTGGAACACAGAGAAACATCCTGGAGAAATAAATTACAGTAGAAAGTTAGGCATGAAGTTTGTTACAGATTAACATTTAAAAGGGCATAGAATCCTTACAGATCTTTGATGTATGTGTTTAATTTCTTATATTAATTCTGCAATAAATTTAGGTTCAAAAGTTAAACTTATGTTCCGTGCAATACCCCAGATTTTTTTTTGTGTTCTATCTCAGATTCTCATGCCTTATGTATGTAAACTTCTCTCTCTCTTTTTCTTTACTGTATATGAAATCTAATTTCTCGTTTTATTGGCCTCAGGGGTGTGTATTTGTGTGTGTATGTGTTTTTTAATAGTTTAGTAGTTGTCTGGGGTTGGAGATAGGGAATAGAAGTATTAGCTATAAGTGATTGTGATTTAAGTGATTGGAAGAGGAGGTTACTCTTCTAATAATTAGTTTATAATAACATACTGCACAATCTCTTTCTTATGTATCCTCTAGAAATTCCATTTATAAGTAAATGAAAAGCTAATCAAAAGATTAAAAGCAAATACTCAAATTTGTCTCTAATCTCATTTTAACAGTGTAGTATTTTTCCCTTGTCCAAATATACAGATCAGTGTAAAATATTATGAATATACTTGTCTTTTAATAAGTGTAAGGTTATTTCTTGTTTGTTGTTTTGTAATTGAATTCATTTTTCATTTGTTTTCTTTATTAAGAGAGCTTAGTAAAAAGCGTAGCAAATGAGATCACTTGTTTTCTAGATATGGCCTGGTTTATTTATTCTTTGTGTATGTTTTGATAACATCTACAACATTTTTTTTTCTCTTAGATATTATATAGTAACTAATAGTATTTCTGCTCATTTCCTCTCCTCTTCTGTTTTAGGGGCCCTGACTTCAAATGGTATCAATGCAGATACCAGTGCTGAGATAGGACGTGCCAAGAATTGCCTTAGTCCTGAGGACATCATAGATAAATATAAAGAAGCCATTTCTTATTACAGCAAGGTAGTCCTACTTCATTGTAACATGAAATTTCTTGTAGATAATGAAATGTTGAACCTTGGGGAGGATATTTTAACGCGTGTACAAAAAAGTAAGCATAGAGGGAGAAGGAGGAGTATTTTGTACTATTTTAATAAATGCTTGATTTAGAGCCTGGGAATCGCATGACTTTGACACTAAAGATGGTACCCAAAATTTCAGTGTATAGAGTTATACTATTTACTGTGTCTATTTTCACCCATTTTGGATTAATTTCTTAATTTCTTATTTTTAAAGCACTCTAAAGGGAATTGTATTTGGAAGGTTCTGTTAATTATTAAGTAGTTTTAGGGACTTCAGTACATATGGCAGTGACGTTATCGGTGCTTTTATGTGTTGCGTGAGCTGGATGCCTATTTATTGTGACTGCTGGAATGATTTCTGCGGTTTGTGTTTGAGAGTTGATACAGGGATTGCTGATCATGGGTGTCATTTTACAGGACTGTTCAGAGAGTCTAGTATTTAGAGCATGCACAGAGGTAGGTGTGACTGAGAAAATGTAGAAGATTAGAATTTTTTAATGAGTATGTGCAAAAAAATAGGTTTTCAGTTCTGCTGGAGCATTTTTCTAGATTAGTGTGAGAATGCTGAGTGAATGTGGTAGCAAGGTAGTTTAATGTTCCCATAATCTGGAAAAAAATTCTCGTTTCATACTGTGACAGCAATGGCTCCGTATCCACATCAACCCTAAAAATAGCTGTAGTTGTACTACTAAATAGTACTTCACTTATGCTTTAATCACCTGTTTGTTTCAGTTAGCTCTATAAAAAAGATACTTCTAAAATCAAGTGAGAGAGATATGACGATAATGATGTGAAAAAAATATGTCCTTTCCATGGTTGTAGCAAAGAGAGACTCTCTGAATGTGCCCAAAAGAGACATTGTGCACATCAGTTAATTATGATCAGGTGCAATAAACACCAAAGATTTTAGGACTGATTTCAGATGAATAATATGTCCTTAAATACCACAATAATTCTGCAGTGTATATTCAACTTCTTATGTTAGCATAATGAAAAGTTACTTATCTAGAAAGAAAGTATTTTTAAGATTAGTTATTGGGCTAAGTTTAAGACAGATTATTTGTATTTTGGTTATAATATTATCCATTATATGAATATAATATCCATTGTGCTCTCTCCAAGTAACAAATCTGCTTCTCTGCCTTCACTTGCAAATAACCAAGAATTTTTTTTTATTGATCTGCTTAAGACCTATCACTGAGCTGAAGAAACCTTCATAGACTTTTAAACATTTTTTTTGTTGCTGTCTCAAATACCCGAGAAAGAAATATGTAATTGTAATTCTGTGGAAAATTAGTCTTTTATTTCACTCTGAGCATTATTTCCCTCATTAAATTTCTAACATGATGAATACCTCAAAAGAGTTTAACTTGCATAGGTGATAGGCATACTCAGATGTCTAATATCAGCATTATTTGAGAAAATAATGAGATCAGATTGCTTGTATAGAAAATTGTTTGCATTTATTGTCTGAACTCAAACAGATCAATGTGTGTGTAAGTTGTTTCCTCTCAAGCAAGTTGTGCAGTGTAACTGAAATATTCATTTAGAGATGATATTGCCAACTGTGTATTAGAAAAATAAGAATGATTTGTAATTAATTTGTAATCAGTGGTAATGTTTTAACTAAAGATAGGTTTGTAGCAGGAAAACTAAAGTTGTTATTTTTTCTCATGTTATTTCATGGGAAATAACATTAATACCTTTTAGCTTGTATATCGCTTGCGTTGTGACTTTTTCTTCTTACATGAATTCAGTGAAACTCTGCTGTGTCTTTAAAATGATAAAAGTTGAGTGAGGATGTTGCAAATTGTTGTTTTGCCTAATAATGTTTTGCGTGATACTTTAATTTTCACTCAGGTGTTTAATAGTATAGTCAGTAGCATTCAAGAGCTGCTGACTTTGGGAGCTGTGACAACTAATTTGTGTGCTGAAGAGAAGTCTTGACAAATATAACAGTTGCCATGCTTTAATATTATTATTTTTATTTCTCTCTTCAAGTACAAGAACGCTGGTGTGATTGAACTGGAAGCCTGTGTGAAGGCCGTGAGAGTCCTTGCAATACAGAAAAGGAGCATGGAAGCTTCTGAGTTTCTTCAGAATGCAGTTTATATCAACCTTCGTCAGGTCAGTGCACGAACTCCAGTCCTTTTTCTGTTCTCCTGTAATATAGTGTACTAAAAGCATAAAAGTTGCTTAGATTCAGGAAAATCAAGTTCCTTTTCTGTGCCACTAGCTTCCTCACCAGGACTTTACTTCCTCGCCAGCACTTGACTTCCAAGGACTTTCACATCTCTGAGTGCAGTTAAAAAGGAGTATTCAGAGCTCATGTGAAAACATGAGGACTTCATTTGAGAGTAGAGTCTCTTTTGGCCTTTCTTTCTTGTGTAGGCAGAACATGTGGAGGAGGAAGAATGTCAGAACCTTCTCATTTGAGGGCAGGAGTGAAGATTTGATTATTTTCATTTCTAATTTGAAACAACTCTGTGAAGTGTTTTTTTTTTGAGCATGAGTTTTAGGATACTAGCTAAACTTGTTAACACAATAACAATGAATCAGCAAGGTTACAAGATGGACAACATTGCATTCATCTGCTTACAAATTTGCTTCTACAAAGCAGAAGTGTTTGTGCTTTGTAGAAATACGAGGAAGATAAATCTTTCCAGTGTTGAGGGATCTGTTTCCCATAGTGTGTGGAATGACTGAAAGTTATATTCACAGTTACTCAAGATTTATAGTACAGAGGAGGGAGGCAGATAATAGTGGTACTTTGAATTTCGAATAAAGGAAGACTCATCTTTTTGTAAGTTAAAAAGAAACAAACTAAAGAATTGTGTAGTTTTATTGCAGGGAGATAGAAGAAATATCAACACAATAAAAAACAACAAAAGAGGAAAGTGTATGCTTCTGATAAAAAGTAATACAAGTTTCTTTCCATACCTTTCATCTCCTATCCATTGTAGAAAAGAATTATGTAATTGATGTTTTCTGGTTAGAGGAGAGCTGCAGGGTAATAAATCTCATCTTTGTATCCAATTATGGGGAATAAGTTGTAACATCCAATTTAAAATTGAGAAAGATGACTAGAAGCTTATTTTAATATAGGAGGGAATAATTAAAAATCAAATAAGCAGCTACCCTGCTGAAAGCCTGACTTAGAAAAGGCCTGAGAAAAAAATGGCCCAGTGGCTTGTGTGGTGAACAAGGGCGTTTAGAGATGTAATTGTTAGTTTGTTTTGCTTTAATAGTTAGATGAAAATTAACCAACTAGAACAGATGCTAGGCTTCAACCATTGGGTATTTCCCACCACTTAATAAGCCTTAAGTGTTTATAGATTTGTAAGGCCAGGAAAGAACATTGTGGTTGCTACGCTAAATGGCCTGCAGAATGCCAGCTACAGGCTTCCCAGAAGCAATTGATTTGGGATATCTGTGGGATTTTCTTTTACTTATTTATTTATTTAACTTGAATTTTTTGAATGCTGGGGTGATAGCATCGAGCTGGTTAGGCTGGGGGAAAAGGCAAAATTTTGTCCTCGTTATGTTGAGGAAGCACAAGCAATTTGCTGCCACTACGAAAGATATGTGAGCAACTTTGTGGGCAAAACTTAAGCAATTAGTTAGGTAACAGCATTAAAAATGAATTCAAATATATTAATGTTTAACAGGGAAAGAGAAAAAAGTCATGATAAAAATTCAGATGAACAAGAGTGCTCGCTATTAATACGGACCATTATCAGAGAGGCAACAGCTTTTCTTGAGATCTTTTTAACATATTTGAATAGTTTCCATAGATGCATATACACTGTCAGAAATCTGTATCTGAGAAACAGGTTTGATACCCTGTAAACTCTTCTGACTTCTATATTTGATGATGTGTTCACGCCTTTTCCAGCTCTGCTGCCAATTTTTTTTTTGGTTATCCTTTTTTTCTTTTGTTAATGACATGAATGGCAAAAAGAAAAATACAATTGAAGTTTCCTTCTCTTTCTACGTGCTAGGATAGGTGACCTTAGTCTACCACCTTTCTTCTTCTGAGGCTCTTTGGCTTCTGAGGACTCAGCCAAACTGTTCTTAAGAAATTCTCTGTCTTCATTTTGTGCCTTTAGTTCTTTCCAAGATCTTTGAGTCACGAAACTTTTCAGTTTAGTGCAATTGCCCTTAGACATGCTTTGTTGCAGGGCTAGTCTTTTTTATGCAGGAGCTGCATATTTGCATTGTGTATGTTGTGCTGCTCATTTCGTGACTAACAGCAGCTTCAGCTTCAAAAAGATTAAAACTGCACAAAGTCACTTGCTGATCTGTTTCTCTTTTTAAGATTTTAGATGTCAGATAAGGTCATAGTCCCTTCTGAAGACTATAGGTCTCCGCAGGGTCTGTATCAGTATTTTCAAAATTGGCAATGACTTTTGAAACCAGTTTTAACAAGTGTGTTAGGATTTAAGCGACTAAAACGTATTTCAGGACTTCACTTATAAAACCTATATTCTTAATTATTTCTGTCAAAGCTATTACTGTGGCTGGGATTGTCATTTGAGTTTGCAAGAGTTGTGATAGTTGGAGTTAGACATGCAGACTTCCCCGATGGATATTTTCCATCTCAGAGAATGAGTTGCAGAAGTGCTGTTTCTTCTCCATTAGCACATTTTTTTGTGTGTGTGAAGCTTGTTGTTTTAAATGCCTCTAAACCCGCTGAGCCATTTTTCAGAATAATTTGCCATAATTTAAAATCTTTTATAATGCTCTTGGATGTGCACACTGTGTTTTGTGCACTAGATGTCAGCATTGATTCATAGAATCATAGAATGCCGAAGGTTGGAAGGGACCTCAGAGGTCATCGAGTCCAACCGCCCTGCTCACGCAGGGTCACCTACAGCACGTGGCACAGGGCTGCATCCAAGCGGGTTTTAAAGATCTCCAAAGAAGGAGACTCCACAACCTCTCTGGGCAGCCTGTTCCAGTGCTTTGTCACCCTCACAGTGATTCGCTTTCAGAGCTCATTGCTTGTGGCTGCGATGTGGAATTAAAGTACCTGGAAGCTTTGAGACTTCCTGCAGAAGTTTTTTCTTGGCTTTTTTTCAAAGTAAGATTTTTATTTACAATAGAGAGGAAAGAATGATTACGTGAGGTATGAATACAGTATGAATAAGCAAAGAAGTCCACGTCAGCAGTTTCCTATCAAGCCTAATTCAAGCTTAAGCTGATCTGGACTTCACCTTTTGCCACATTCTTCCTCTCTGGTAGGCCATCTGTGTAGAATCATGATATTCACATTTTGTAATTCAAAAGATTTGAGGTACATATAGTTGGGACAACAGATTCCTTAATATCATAGCCTGAGATTTCAAAGTTAACTAGTATGTTTACTCTTAAAGCTTTGAAAATCTCTAGCACTCTAGATCAGTGCTTTCCGGAGGTGGTGTATTTTTGAGTTCTAATCGCACATACAGATACCACACTAAGTATCTTCCATAAAATGGGAAATAGTGTAGTTATTATTGCCTGTTTTGACCTTCTACTTATTAATATTGTAGACAGAAAAGGCTGATAAACTTATATATACTGCTCTTGTTAGTTGTTGAACTAGAAGCTTAAGTTTTCCTGGCAGTAGGAGATTTTAAGACCAATTGAACACAAAATCACTGGCTTTTCATAAAGTTGGAAAATGTCTACTACATTCTTTTCATGTTACTTTTTACTTTCATGTCATCTGTAAGATATTGATGAAGGTATTCCTTTTTTCTTTCCCTTTTAAATTTTAGCTTTCAGAAGAAGAAAAAATCCAACGGTACAGCATTCTTTCTGAGCTCTACGAATGCATTGGCTTTCACCGAAAATCTGCTTTTTTCAAGCGCGTAGCAGCAATGCAGTGTGTGGCCCCTAGCATACCAGAACCTGGCTGGAGGGCCTGCTACAAGTTGCTTTTGGAAACACTCCCTGGCTATAGCCTGTCACTGGATCCGAAAGATTTCAGCCAAGGTGAGTGCTTGTGGGGTGGAGTAGCACTAAACTGGCTTGCCCTAAATCTCCAGTTCCTTGAGATGTGTCAAATAAGAACCAACTTCTTTACCTGAAATGAGTTGCAGCAGGTAGAGCTGTTCTTTTACAACAGCACATTTACTTTTTGTGATGTTATTTTCAACAGTTCCAAAATTCTGACAAGAAGTGCTGCTAGATGTGTTGCTGTATTCCTCTACTTGCTGGGAATAATTATCTGTTTATGTTATCTGTTTCAAAAGTATTTCGTTGTGTTTGATTATACACTTCTCAATGCAAAATAAGTCATATTTTATTTTCAAGAATTTTTGAATTAAAGTGCTTTCATCTTGTGTCTGAAAAGTTGGTTTTCTTTTGATATTCAATGTTGGCTTTTAGTCAAAGAATGAAAGATTCTTTCATACATTTTTATATATCGATGCACACATGTACATACATACATATTTATATATAAACGCCCATATATCTCTACAACTATATCTGTACTTGTATCTATAGCATCAAGTCACTTTTCCCCCCAAATTAAATAGATGTGATATTATCTGCAAGACTGACATTTTAAGAGCATTCCAACAGTTTTTAGATGCTGTATATCATTTGAGTTCCTATTTTATTGCATCTATTAAAAAGGCAGAGCAAAAAGCTCCCTTAACAACACATGACTATTCTTGTAGTTAAAAACTGTGTTCATTTTCTGTAAGTTATGTGCTGTCTCCTGGCCTTCTTTTAATAAGCTCTTTTGAAACAATTTTTAATAGTTAATGTTTGGTGTTAATGTTAGCTGAAACTGAATGTAAGAGTACTGAACCGAACAGAATCATTTTCAAATGACTGAACAATACAATAACTGAATATAGTCATTCTTAATCATTTGTGGGATTTCTATGGGCTGCAGCGGAGTTGAAGACAGTTGGTTGCATGTGTAGACATTTAAAATTTATTTATTTTTTACATCAGGTATGACTTCAGTAGTCATTGGAAAGAGATGAGGTGCAAGGAGCGGCAGAAAATGTAAAGAGGACTGTAGAAATTGTGTAGGAATAGAGACTATATTGAGAACAAATAGACTATGACCTGTCATGGAAAAGATGAAGACTAGTTTGGGAACTGTTATTTTTTTTCTAATCAGTATGTTCAATTTGCAGATTTTTATACAAGTATCATTACATTGCTTCTTGTTGAGAAAAGTAAATATAGAGTTTTTGGTGATTTCTAGCTTTTTTTTTTTTTTTT